AATCTTTAATCCATGTAAAGTTTTTCTATCGATCAGTTGGGAATCGATTGCGTATTTTTGTGACTTGCTAATCATAAATTATAAGTATTCTACCCAAGGAGGATACATAAAGAGTACATAAACCGCTTGCTATTCTGACAACTCTTATAATCCTTAACAAATGTTAACTGTGCGCAAGCTTTCCGCATAAATTCATATCAAACAACTGTTTTCTCCGTATGCCTTTATCGTTTACTTTATATGTACTAAACGACATGAGGACATCAACACAACAATTATTTGCAAGAAAAATTGTTTGCAACATTATATGACATATTTTGGAATCAAATACCATTTGTAACATTGATACAAATACCAACCTGATGTACACCTTTTGGCACCGGTTATCCGGTTACACGTGTATTTTGAAGATGGTACGCAATAAATGTCACATCCTCTGCCATAATAATTTGGATCGCAATACACCGTCATATTTACAGTCATACTACAATGAAAAAACAATGAAATGAGAAGAAAATGGGTTAAATATTGAACTGATCTCATAGTTTGCACTCCATATCAGTTTTTGGAAAAGGAAGAAAACCAACAATTTTGAAATGTGTCTCGTTATAAGAGAGGCGTAAACTTTTCAATATGTCTTCCGACGTTTCTAAATGAAAGTACCAAATTACTTTGATTCTAAATAAATGGCTTGGTCATGATACCATTTGACTTCAATTTCTAAAACAGAATAATAAAGTACTCGTATCACACATAACTGTTTTATTTAAGTTTTTATAATAAAAATTGATAAATTTTGGAAAATGTTAGTATTGTGGCCTATGGAAGAATAAATACTACCGCATTCCCTTTAAGAAGATAGATCCAATTACATATCGAAGGCATACTGATTGGGCAATGTACAACTTACGCTTTTAATTTACAGTATTATTCATGTACTTTCTATTTAAGCAAATTATCACTTTTATTTTTTTTTAAGATTAAACTCTCAACCTTAAGTGGAACAGGAGCAGCTTATATTTAAGGAACACCTAAGTTGAGGCCCGATGTTCGGTTTAGTTCAGTTATTTGTTTTCTTTTAGTTTTTATATATGGGTTGGTTTTTTTTCTATCGTCTTTTTCTATTTGTCATTGTATTATCTGTCTTCTTCGGCTAATTATTTAAAATATTCTGATTGGTACTCCTTATTTTGTTGTAATTAGGGAAAGAATTACCAAGTTTTTCCCAAAGATTTAATATTATGTTTGAAATCAAAAGAATACTTAAAACTCATATCTTTAACTGTTATGTAGGTGTGTCGTTTTCTTTCCATCCAATAAACCTTGTAAATAAACCTTGTCAATGAACCTTGTAAGCACAACTCCTCCTCCAAATTCTTTGTAGATTATATAATATAATGAAGTATAACAGTTAAGTGTCTCATATTTTATTTAATGTAAATCTATATTTATTTAACCTTGATTACCGGCAGCCTAATGAATATTGTTGATTCTCTTCAACAACACACATACAGTCACGCATACATGCATACAAACATGCTGGCATACATTCACAACCAACCAGATAATCAGGTACCTGATGATTTAAAAGGAGTTAAGTTAGTCATATATTTTATTTCTTTATGGTCAGGATACATACTTCGTATTGTAAACGAACAATAACTCAATATCTCTAAGTAGATCTATCATCTTATGCTCAACTTCTTTGAGGTGTAATACCACCAAATCATAGCACGCCACGTGACAACCGGTTTCATACGAAAAAGTGTCGAAAAAATTATTCCCTTGAATTTGACAGTTGTAGGAAGTTAACCCTGTATTTCATTGCAGAACAAAAATATGAGTCGTAAACATACAGCTAGGGTGCTTCAAAGTACCATTCTTTTTTCATTTGGTGTTTCTATCAAATATTTTTGGAAACTTGAGGTTACGTGGTTATTAAAGTTTGTACACAGGAAAAAAAGGGTGAAAATTTGATCGATTAACTTCCAGTGATGGTTATTATCTTATATGCAATGAAATATTATGTGAAATTTTGTCTGTAGTATACTGGACAGGATAAAACTTATCTCATGCCCAGTATTTTTTATTAGAAATAAATTCTGCACATTTTTTTTGAAAAGTGTCAATTTAACAAAGACAAATAGGGGAAAATCAATGGTGGCAGTACTCCTTGATATCATTTGAAGATGTACAAGAAAGAATATAGTGTATTTTCAAATAATTTTATTGAAAAGAAATACACTTCTCCATTTTTTTTCTTCGAGAAGGCTATATATAGCAGTTTTGTTAGACTAGTAAGATTCAAAACATAAAATATGATTAAAGGAAGTTAAAACGCTTGATCTAAAAATTTCATCTCCTTTTTTATCTAAAAAAAGAGACGAAAGTACTGATAAAAATACAAAATACTTGTTTAAAGTGGTTAAGGAAGAAATTAATAGTCCTTAACATAAGTCTACATCTAATATAACACTATTTTATATTTTTTGTTTACAGAGAAGTCACTACGCACGTTAAGCTTTCGTGCCTACTCATGCTCAACTTCTCTCAGATCATTTTAATATGCACATGAACTTTAATTTTTTTTCATTCTGTCAATTGCAGTATATATATTTAAATATCCAAGTTTCGTTCTCAATGCCACTTAAACCAGGAATCCCGCCTGTTTTACACCAGTTTCACTTTTTTCATCACTTTGCTAAAGACATGTATTTTTTACATTGGTGTAATCTAATATTGAACTCATATAAATTTGTACATAAACATCTGCAAAGCTCTTTTCTTGTAGATTACGGTATTTAAGACAACTGTTTCCGCTTTCACATTGGGTTATATACTAAATAGAAGCGTGATTGTAAAAAAAAAAATTTTAAAATCTCTCATAGCATGAAGAAAGGATTGTACATAGTTAAAGATAGTTTACAATTATTCCAAATGAATCATTTTACTAAATTCCTGAACTAAACACGTCATTAATATTTTATAGTAGGTCAAAATAAGTAGTAAATGTGTGGTTTTAATATCGTATTCATGGTGTGGCATTCGTAACATCATCTCATTGTTAAGTCAACAACCGTAAACGCTTATTCTCCTTGTTTTTTTAAGGAAAAAGCTTTGATCAATACTTTCCCTCATCTTTTTCTTCCAGTGGACGTTAAGCAACGTTAAGCAACCAACAATCGATCAATCCGCAAGTCCCGTATCTTGTAGGTAATATGCGTTTTTCTATGGAATTTACCTAATGTTTCTGCAGTAAAATTTCTTGCATGCCCAGCTTCTGAACGGGTAGGTTCATTACATATGGATTTCCGCCTTCTCGTGTCCAGTTATTGTACAAATACGTTCGATTTCTTTGAGCTATTTATGTTAATTTCGAATGTTTTTGAGTTCAAAAGACTATGATCATTGATGTTTAACCCTTGGCTATTATTTTATTTATGTTTCCAAGTGAGATAAGGGAACTGTTTGTGATATTTTGTTTTCGTTTATTGTTGTATAAAACAGGCAGTTGGTTTGACTATTTTGACAGTTTTTGCAGTTTTGCATTCGAAACCCTATTGCACATATGTAAGGCAAAATTCAAAAACATAAATAAGGATATTTGATATGCTTAGTCTTGTGAAAATCTGAGGGATATAATCAATTAGATATACCATACTTCTTTTTTCTAATCCAAGGGGCAAATAAGGCCGACTTTTTCATATGTTTTTCTTTACATGTGATTTTGTCCATTCATGGATACTGACCAGTGTTACACATCGATCGATGCTGTTTGTTACAGTTTCAAAGGTTGAAATGTTTTATATTCGTATGTGTTATCAGATCATTAATGGGTGAAATAGATTTTATATGCAGATAAGAACATACTGGTGATATTGCACCTTTTATCAGTGACTGTAGGGGAGTATCTAGGTTGTGTGATGGAATTCGTAGTTTAATCTACCGCTATAATTAAATATATTTTTCATCATAAGGATGAAATTGTGTATGCCCTGTCTACAATAGTTGATGGCAATATAGGTTTTGGGTTGTTCGTGCGTCTGTTTGTTCGTTCGTCCGTCCCTAGATAAGCTAATTTTTTGGTTAAAGGACGGTTTAAGTTGTGGTGTAAGTAAGTTTTAACATGAAGTTGTTGTAGCATCAGCTTGAAACATTGTACATACGTTACACGATGTGAAAGTTGTAAAATATACTAAGTATGCCAAATAGAGTTTTGACTTTATTGAACATGAATTTCTGATAGGGTGAGCGGTGTCCTAGTAAGATGTTTTCGTAAAGACAGTAGTTGATTTTTTTTTATTCATGTAAAGATGTGTTGGCTGAGTCAATAGGTATGTATCTATCCTTTACTGCATTCCCTATAAACATCTGTTTCTTTATAAAACTAAATGACTTTGACACTTACTTTCTTCCTTTTTGTGATCATAAGTAAAATGTATTCATAGCTACCAGGCTTATAATTTAGAACACTAGAGGGAGGTCGGTTGTGACTACACTCGACTCGATAATTACTGCAGCTCGAATTGGTGCAACGGTCATATTAAATATTGAAGAATCGACCATTTAAAACCCCCCAAAAAAACCAAACAAAAGGCTGTCAAAAATCTAGCTTAGGCTATCTATTCCTGTGTGTAGAAAAATCTAAGAGTTTTAGATAATTCAACTTTTTATAAATAGTAAATATAACTTAAAATGACACTAATTATATGTTCAAATATATCATGTCAGTACCAACGAACTGACTGCTGGGCTGGTGATACATTCATGGACGAAACGTCTATACTAGTAGTAAAATCGACCTAGAGATAATAGGAGCAGAAAATTAAAGCAGTTGGGTTTTGTTTGCAAAACAATTCAGTGATTCTTAATAAAAATTAAAGTAAAAAGAATTATTTAGAATTTAAGTGTCAATTGAAACATATTTTTGTATTTTTGCTTTTTAGGAAAAAATGTGTAGCTTCGGGGGTAGGGGAAGGACTGTTCTTCCAAAATTAAATGGCAGCTCCCTAAGGGTATCTTACCTTACTCTGTTGGAAAGTTTCAAAGTTTTAGGTTTTGCATTTGTTTCATTGTAATATGGTCTCTCCATGATGTAGTGTCCGGTCATAGAATCTACATAATCATCTTCTAAAGTATCGTGGTCGTATACATCTATTTTTAATTTACAAGATCCCTAAAATAAAGAGTGCTACTTAGAAAAAAATGTTAAGCAGTTTCATAATGTATCATTTGTTGCTAAAACAAAAGTAATGAGGGTAAATACGAAAAACAGAAGAATACCTGAATAGACATTTGTAGGAATGATTGACAAAGAAAAGGAACTTTGTATAAAAAACAATTGTATTAGCTTTGTATCATTGTTTTCCTTAAATCTATTTTATAAATTTGGTGCAAAACATATAGACAGTGATCAAATATTACAAACAAGTTCATTGAGATCACTTTCTGCCTCCCTTTCTATAAAATGGCGAATTTTAACATGATGCGAGCACTCAATACTTCCTCTGTAATAGAACAGCATAAGAACAAACTGTTCAAAAAGACACAAAGTGCCGATCTAAGAGTATTCGCATTTACTGAAAAGCTACTTCAAAGTCAATTAAAACTAATAAATATATCATGTTTTCCAAGACTAAAATATCAATCAGCGCACGTCCTACATATTTAGTGTAATGGCGTCATAAAAATTCAGAGAAAAGAATGACCTTATGCAATGCCAAAACATAAGGATCTACAGGTGTAGTTAGTGTTCAAAATGGTATAGCAATACATATTTAGTAATGTTTTCATTTATTAATAACAACATCGATGTTAGTACATGTACCAATAAATACAATATTCAAAGATCTTAGTACAGTAATAACATATTAATGACCTTTATGAATAAGTTTATTCAAATGATCAATAAGTTCACATTTTTCGTATCTAAATTTACGGAGCCCCGACTCTATAAACTACACCAACAACGTATAAAACAGATCGGGGGTCGGTTGGTTGCCTGTTGCAAGGCAAAATTTCTACCCTGTCCAATATGTCCCCTTTTGCAGTGACAGTCAAAATGTTCTGCCTTTCATTCTGGACGACCTACATTTAAGAACCTATAGTGTATCGGTTGTAAATTTGTCCTCAGTCGGAATATGCATGAATTATTTACTACTGGACATTAGGCAAGCAACGATCACTCAATAAAACTAATTTCTTGATGAATATTTAAAATAAGGCTATATGCATTTGCTGGTATATTCTAAATATAGTTTAACAACTATTTGATTCTAAATGTATAATTGTTGTTTCAAAAGAGCTTTTAAATAAAAGTGGTTACCGATGTAAAAAACACTATTGATGTCAGAGTTACTTTTTAATTGTTCTTGTCTCACTAATCTTCCAACAGTTTTTATAAATTGTACCATGCAATGAATGTGTAATGAACATACTACCAGCAATGTTATGCTTCTGCTTTCTTATTTTCCTGTACAAATGATAGATAAGTATTCTACATATAATAATACACAGGACAGTTGCTTCTGAAATTTCCTTCATCAAATAGATTTCGGAAGCCAAATGCATCAAAAGTCTTCAAAGTAAGTCGAGTTAAAAGAAAGATGGTATACGAAGAGCGGCTACAATGGTCCAAAATCAACTTTGCTTGATAAAAAAAATCACATTTCGTTTTAAAACTCAATGGATGACAGTTCCCAATAGACATGCACCATATAAAAGAATCTTCTTACCCTTCCAAAGAACCGTAGATCACCCCAAGGTTTCTGTGAAGTTCGTGTTGCTTAGCCTTTAGTTTTCTATATAGTACACATACATTTTGTGAACTTGTTTATCTTTTTGTCGTTTTTTGATTTTGACATGACTCTTGTCAGTTTTTTTCGACTTGGGATTTCCCGCCCTTTTTTTTTTTTAGATCATGCCATTACCATGATTACTGAAGCAAACAAACTACATTAGCTTAAGTACAAGAGAATCTTAAATCATAGACACTTAAGACATGGACCCCTTTTTGTGGTTCATTTCTTTTTTTGTTTTTTTTTTTTAATATTTTTTAAATTTTTATTTTTACTTTTTCCTTAGGACTCTTTCTATATTGTTCAGCTTGTATTTCTGCATTTAAGAAAAAATAACTGAAATGTACAGTCAATTCATTGGAAACAAATTCACAAATCAGTGACAAAAAATAACGGGACCACGCCCAAAGAACCTCTGATTTAAATTGCGATACTATGGAATTCTTCTTACTGTCCATTTGTGAAATGAGAAAGTCTTTGGATTTGAATAGAGTCTAATATCTTTCCCAAATGTGATATAATCTGCGTTACGTATAATATCTGTACTCCAACGGCCATAGCTACACACGTTCGTGCTTTCATATCTGAAATATAAAACGAATATCTTTTAACAGTATTCCAACAGCATTTCTGTACTACATTCTTCCGTCAAGGCTGGACAACAAATGTAAGTGATGCGTGTAGAACGAGAGGAATTCTTTTCGGTATACTTTGCTATTTATTTTATGTTTTTGATATCGGTTATACCGATCTTTTAGAGATAATCACTTTCTCTTTGCTTGTTTTCATTGTATTATCAGATTAATTCATGACAACTTTTATATCAGATGTATTATTAGCCCTAGGTCGTGAGCCTAAATCACTAGGTTTTTCGATTTACTAAGAATTTTCAACGGTTGAAAATTCTTAGTATTTCGAAAAACCTGAACCCCCAGGAATAAATTATCTTAGCTTTATTTGGTAAAACCTTTCGGATTTTTGGGTCCTCAATGATCTTCAACTTCATTCTTGATTTAGCCTTTTAACTTTTTCAATTAGAGCGTCACTGATGATGTAGACAAAACGGGTGACCTTGCGTACAAAATTTTTATCGTGGTATCTATGATGAGTTTATTTACAACCACTTGGTCGATGCCACTGCTGGTGGAGTGAAACTGTTCACAAAACTTTTATTTTTTTCGAAACATTCACAATGTTCTACCTTAGGAAAAGATTACATTAGCTTTATTTGGCAAAACCTTTTGGAATTTTGGGTCCTCAACGCTCTTTAACTTCGTACTTGATTTGGTCGTTTTAACTTTTTTTATTCAAGCGTCACTGATGGGTCTTTTGTAGACGAAACGCGCGTCTGGCGTACAAAATTTTAATCGTGGTATCTATGATGAGTGTATTTGATATCGACAGAGGGTTGTTAATACATCTGATATGATACTTCAACTTCAAAAAATAGCACTGTATGGAAATGTTTTACTTTGAGAAAAAATCAACCTCAACTTCGCTATGTAAACAGCACGTAAATAATATAGGCATTCGTATACATTAAACCGTAGAAAACTTAAATGCACTTATATTTTCTAATGGTTTAACAACGTATTTGTGTACTGACCAAAATTTATTTAAAGAATTTAGGCAGGCCGGAATTGATGAAGCAGTACAAACAGTGCGGCACTTTTGTATGGCATCGATTCTATTAATGCTAGACACTTAAAACAGAATCCATGTTTTATATGATTTTCATTTTTACAATTTATGTTCATGTTTCCTCCTTATTTTTTGTATTTTAATATAGTGCATGCGTGTTTCTTGTTTTCATTGAAAACGTATAAAGTGGAAGTATCTTTTTCAGTAATTTACCGATCCATACAATAACCAGTGTTCTCCATTTTTCACTAAGGTAAGGTGGGTGTTTTGAAAAAATCACTTGCAACCGGTTGTTTTTTTTGTTTAAACATTTCAAACCGGGTTTTATTTTACTGTTTTTGGGAACACAAAAAGAAGGATTAGTATTGTATTAACATTTAATAAAATTTAACCGTTCTTCTGCTATCACTGCTAGCCTTTCATTTGACAAATTAGTTTTTCGCATCTCGGATAGCAGATATGGCTTTTGCAGGACTCCAGTCTCCTGCATATGCATTGCTTATCGATCCAAGTTTCTGTCCTGTTCCTCGCTTTAGTGTTGTATTTTTGGCACAGAAATATCCTCCTTCTGTGCCGATTAGCCATTTAAAGTCCTATTCATATTTATCAGCTTGGGAACAACCCCTCAAATGAGGGGTAACCTCTCAATGTAATGACTATCCCTTTTATGAGGGGTACATTTCACGAGATACAAATGAGCACATATTTATTTTATTTACAGAAACTTTTCCCAAAGAACTATACATCTATCTTGTATTATATGGTCAAAACATGTCCAAGAATTTTGTAATATTCCTGGACTTCTATCTTCTTTATCATTAAATGGGACCCTCTTTTAAAAAAGTTGTTCCAAACATAACAATTTTTTCCCCTTTTAAGTTAAAAAATCTAAGTTTTTCTCTTTTCTTTTCTTCAACAGTATTAACATGACCTCTTGCCAGAGAGACAGTCCCTCATTTAAGGGATATCCCTCATTTGGGGGATTGCTCCCAACCTGTTCATCTTCGCGATCGCTTGCGTGCCTTTTCCGTTGTTTTTCTACTTTTTTTTTAATTTCAACAATTTCAATACAACTATCCGTTTTAGTTGACTTATTTGGCCTAGAATTTTCCTTATCACCATCGTCATCTGCCTTTCTCTTCCCCTGATTAATTAAAGAAAACATTGAAATTTGACGATCCTTCATTTTTGTCAATGAAAACAAACAGCGAGGCGCGATTAGTATTTAAGTTTTTACGGTGCGGAACCGAAAAAAATCCGGAATTTGAAAAAAAGCCGACCACCTTCTAAAATGGAAAGGTGGTCGGCTTTCAAAAGAAGGTGGTCGGCACACCCGCCTTAAATGCCGAATGGAAAACACTGATAACATTGCGAATAGACATGCGATAATAACCGGAAAGTTACGAAGAATTGTCACGCGATGACGTTACGAACAGACACGCAATAATAACCGGAAAGGGACGAAGAATGCGATAACGTAACGTTCGTTTAGTTTTCTAAGGTAGCAATACACAGTTAGGAAAAAAACTAAAATTGACACTCATAATTTTTAACCAACCTCTTTCTCTTGCTTTCTAACAAATAAGGCTTTATATTTGTGTTATGCATGTGTATATTTATGGAAAGAGCATCTTCCATAGATTTGATTTCCAATAGTTATAACGGAGAAATATAATCTCTTCTTGGTGTAACCATGGCAACAATCTGCATTTATTTGATACAAAATATTGCACAAAGGATGGTGAAAATGTCACCAAAGTCCCCAAAACTTGGTCCAAAGGAGAATTTCAATCCATTAGAGTGATACCTTTCCTGAAACCATAGACATTTATCTATCAAGAGTTAAAAAAAAATCATATGCGTTTCTGCTCATTTTTCCATAAAATTGAATTTAAAAGTTCGAAGGTCAAATCTTTGTTGAAAAACACTACAATTATTTCTGGACCTATGGGCGGTATGGATGGGAAAAAAGGGACTGTCAAACAGAAAAATGGCCTATAAAACATGCAAAAACAAAATCTTGATGTTCATATTAACCCACTTGGAAGGCTATATTATTCTTTAACTATCTAAAAATCAATTTTATTGTACAAAAACTTTCATATTTAAAAAATTCACCATGGCCAAAATGCGAACCTAAACTTCTAACTGTGTATTGCTACCTAAACATAATTTTACAATTTGCGCAAATAAAAATCAATTTCGGTTTTCGTTATAGTGGAATAGAAAACATGGTTTAAGTAGTTTATCTACATACGTTAAGCCTCTCAAAACTGAGGTTGCGAATTCGAAAACCGCATATAACAGGAGCGTTCGACTCCGATCGATTACCAGTTTTCCTGTCGAAGGTCAATTGATCTCTCCGGGAACTCAGGCTTCTTTCACCAATAAAAACTGGTCGGCAGAAGATAGACAAGAGTGCCGAAAGTGGCGTTAAACACCAACAATCAATTAATCAACCAATCTATCAATCATAAAGGTATGATTTAGAGCTATTGAAACTTTATCAATTATCAACAAATTTTGTATAAGTTATTATGGCAAACAGGACATACTGAAAAGAAACACAAGTGGTTTACACAAGAATATTTTCTCAAACAATTCAAACGAGAGAGCCTAAAAGTTAAGCTTTCAACAAAGTGGTAAATTTTAATTCATTATCACAAATTTAACTTTGTATCATATACATTGTTTTGTGTGATCACGTTTTGAACCATATACCTACCCATTTATGTTATCTACACATATTATAAATTTGTGATCGCAATCCGAGGTTTTAACCCCCCAATGATGGTCACACAAAAAACCGGCAGCATCTAAACTTCGTCTGTTCTGGAAACTGACCAATTTGAGCCATATTTGGCCTCCGCATTCGATCTCCTAAAAAAAAGCGTTCTATCAGACAATTTCTATTCACAGATAGAAAAGAAGAACACATCTCATCTAATTCATATAAATATATTTTTTTTAGTTTGCTCAAAATCAAAATGTGTTTGCAGATAAAACAAACTAAATCAAATTTCTTAGATGTCTTCATATAACCCTATCAATTATAAATACCCCTGTGAATATATAAATCTATCAAAGTGAATATTTTTACTGTAATTTTTCCTCTAATGTTATATCCACATTGTAATATTTGGTGTATTTCGTAAATAGATGTACTGTTTATCTTTCTGTACATTTTATACAAACTAAGTTTAAAATCTGTTAAATCAAATACAAAGCTGTGCCATATGCACAGACATTTTGTTAGAAATTTTATTCGTTCAAAATTGATATCGATTAGCCTCAGAAATCTGTTGATGGTAAAACTTAACAAATTGATGGTAGCATTTAACAAATTCCACAATTAGTGGGTTAATTTCATCAATTATAGTATGATCAGTTAAATTAATTTATCCTAAAATTTACAATGAAAAATAGCTTATATACTCACTCCCATAAATAAACACATACACAAACACAAATACGTCCATTTCATTTCGTGGAAACACTTTTTAGTAAAACAATAAAAACTACACTTCCATCATTAAGAATACGCACATTCATTAATGTCTCTTAACGATTAAGTGTATTTCCTTCCGTTTTTATACCACTGTCGATTTAAATAAGAATGAAAATCGAAACTTCTGTCTTCGGTTACCACGTGTTTAGTACAACTATTTTCTACATAAGAATAGAGGGACAGCATGTTAAACTTACTGTTATTGTAAGATCAAAGAAAGAACACATAAAATGACTAAAAACCATTTGAAACATTTTATAAATTCTAATTGACTAAAACAGATCTAAACACCAAAATAAAGAGTAAAAAAATAAAAACAAAAAAGTGTTCAATCGGCGAAGTGCCTGTGAGTAAAACAGTTGACTTCTTGTTTAACGGTTCATTCAGATTTTTCATGAAATTATTTTCAAAGTCTACATATTGCGTTTCGTAAGGAAAATAAATAAATGCTTTTACTTTGATTTATACTTGTGAGTAAAATTCACTATATTTCATAAATCATGTAACGATAATTACCATATGATTAAATAAATAAAAAATGCCTTTTTAGAAACTCTTACTTTATGACGACTTGAAAGGTCATAACTTTTTCAATTTAAAATAAAAGTAACTTTTCGTCGGTCATCTTATCAGTCACACGGACCATACGCGTCGGACCATATGAGAATTTTGACTATGCGCATATGGTCATGACCATATGCGTATACTCATATGATCGATTCATACGCGTATAGTCGGACCATATGAGTATATACTCGTTTGGTTATTAACAGGCCGGACCATGTGAGTATTGGAGTCTATATGTTTTTGATATATGCATGATATATGTTCCTTTTTCATACTTGTGTGCTTTTTGATCAACAAATAAGAAACCAAACAAGTAAGTTCTGGAAACAATATACAACTTAAAAGGATATAAGATGCGACGGCAGCAAGTAAGAAACAAAACAAACACGTTTTGGACACAGATGTTTCCTTAGAATATTTTACATCAATTACTTATTTTCTGAATAAAACATAAGTAAAGATAAACTATGTAAGAATTTTAACTTCTTACGCTGGAACACACAACTTTTTTTGCAAACCCAAAACGACACAATTGAATGACATCTTTTATCTCTAACGTTTTGTCTGCATCTGATGTACCTGTATTCTTGTCTTCGCTAATGTCAATTAACATTGTGTTGTTTTTTTTTTATCTTGTTGACTTTTTCGTTCTTTATTAAAATAATTGAATTATACTGTAGGTTATTAAACGGCTGCTTTCTAATTGGAAAGTGCGCCCCATATTTATATAGATTTACTTCAGAAAAGTACTTAGGGATGTTTTTTAATAAATTTTGTTGTGAGTTTTATAATTGACTTCTTGTTATATATCCTTTTATAAATCCTAAAGTTAGCACATACTTACAACTTCTCGTCCAATCAAATTGCTTGAATTTGGCTTCTAAGTTTCATAATACATACTTTTCCCGTGTACTAAGTAACTATGCATGAAAGATCACAAGAGTAAGATTTCAATGTATCGTAATCAAGATATTAAAAATTAAAAAGTGTTCCTGGCTATTTTAGAATAACATTGTGTGTTCAAAGTAAAGGTTAATCTATGAAAAGGTATGTACCATGAAATTTAGAGCGAGGAGCTTGCCCTAAGCACTTAATTTCAAAGTATTTACCTTTTCATAGACTATCCAATTTAGCACATATTTACAACTCAAAAAATCTTTTATTTGGTATATTGTTAGTTTATTTTGGTTGACAACTTGTATCACAGGCGTTTGTAAATCGGAGTTCATTAACTAAGTTTACTGTTTTGTAAATTTACTCACAAGTATAATAGCTATCATATTTGTTCATTTTGTGACAGTGATTTACCAGATCATAGTTTATAAATTCAGAAAACACAATTTGGGACATTGGCGGTTTATAGGTCATTCTCACATAAAATTATGTGATTCTATAAGGTCCTTGACTCCAGAATGAAAAGATGGTAGCTGCTAGTGTGTATCGATATAGAGCGGTGTCTTGCTACATTCTTTACATGGTACATGTTAAGATGACAAAATAAATTCACTGCAAAATTAAAACTATAATAAGTATGTAAAATATAGATACATGTAAATAAAGGCAACAGAAGTATACCGGTGTTCAAAAGTCATAAATCGATTGAGAGAAAACAAATCTGGGTTACAAACCAACCGAGGGAAACACATCAACTATAAGAGGAAAACAAAGGAACAACAGGAACACCAAAGAGCAACAAAAACAAACGCCAACACACATAGACACGAATTATATAAAGTCTAGCGGATACGCATTAGAAAGCAACAACCAAAAGATCAAATACTATAGTTTGTTTTGGTTTTTTTTAAGTAAAAACTCAAAATTTTATTAGAATATATATTGATTTGGCACGTAACCTATAAACATTATCACGGTATTTCAATTCATGATGAAATAGATCTATAATCATCAAGTTCCATAGATTTCCCTTCACAAGGTTTCATAGTACATTTTTGCTTTATGTGTACAAAATTAATTGCATGATGGATGATAAAGTACCGCCATTATAAGATAGCGTTGTACACTAATCAACGTATTTAGGACCATATTTGCTATTTCTTTTTTAAATGACAGAAATTTGTAATTATCAAAAATATTTTTTTAAATCAAAGATTTGAATAGCAGGATGGATAAAAATCTATGTGAAAACTAATTACAAACATTTTGTTTTTAATTTAGGACACAACATGATATTCCAAAATAGCCAGCGGCAATATCTTGGTAATTCATCATCCATGAAGTAACATTGTACACAAAAATGTAGGTACTATGACACCTTGTGAACGGAAATTCAAGCAAGTTGATGATGATGATGATGATGATGATGATGATGATGATGATGATGATGATGATGATGATGATGATGATGATAATGATGAGGAGGAGGAGGAGGAGGAGGAGGAGGAGGAGAGAAGGAGGATGATGAGGAGGAGAGGAGAAGGAGTGGAGGACGATAATGAATAGAGCAACATTATACAATCATTGTTGGCAAATATGAAACCCTTTGTTTTGTTTGTAGTTGAAAAAAAATCGTCAAAACGTCTTTGTACCTTTATATGATAGTAGCTTGTGGTAAAAGTGAATAAAAACATAATGATCCACCAAAATTGTGACATCAGTATTAACAGTTGATTATTTTTCTATTCCAGTCATTTTGAAAATAGAAATAACCTTTCACATTTGCGTTATAAAAGCGTACATTATTATTAAAAAACAACTTTTATTTTATTTGCATAATATGTTTTTCTTCTTACTTATTTTGTTGATTGGTAACATGAAACAAAAATTGTAAACGATCAAATACAACCAGTTCAAATAAAAATTGAATGTTTTCCATCTTAGTTCGGATTATAGAGAATAATTTGTAATTTTCAACTCGAAGCTTATATAAAAATGAAGTATTTACTATTGCCGTATTAGGTTATCACAAGAAACATTTTGAGATCCTAATCAGTTCTTGTGACCTTATATTTATGCCAAAATTTTTAACTTAGTTTGTACACACCTTTTTGTGGGTTTAACAATGATTTATTTCAAGCCATTATTAAAAAGCACATCGAAAATTCGAACCGAAGGACAACTTGATCTCCACAGAGATTGAACCAAAAGTCGTCGGGCTCTAAATGTGAAGACATTTTATAATAATCTTCAATAATGGATATTTTTGTTAAGGAGTTGTTATTTCCACGGCATTATGCATGTTATATCTATTTAATATGAAATGCAAAGTCGATTATGATTTTCATTTCTTTAGTTCTCCAGTCTTCTTTTTCTCCGCAATATAAATATAGGCAACAGTAGTTATTCGAGCGCCATTGATGAGACTTCTGTAGACGAAACGCGAGTCTGGCGTACCAAATAATAAGCCTGGTATCTTTGATGAGTTTTCACCAATATTCAAATCTCATAATTCGAATTAGAAGACAAATCAAGGCAAACAAAGACTGAGGGAACCGCATTAACTCCAAAAGGAGTGAGCCCGAGTAACTAGGAGTCCTCTGATATGCATGGATCACTAGCTATTTGAATCAACACTCAGCCAAAATGTCACGATATAAACGATAGATACTGAATAAGTGATCACTGAGCACACATGTTTATAGAATAATACACAAATTGAAAATAATAACATTAATTACAGAAAAATATTGACAGAACAACAGGCAAAAACTGCCTTCAATACCCGATTCATTTTCATTCCCTCAAAACTAAAAGTTCTAAAAGCCAAATACATAGCTCGTAATCAATACCAAATGGGCATACACAGAACAGACAGTTAAACCTAAGGTAAACCACGCCTTTAAAATTACAAATGATTGAAATGTTGTTTTAAGTAGTTTAATTTTTTCATTGACATCAATTTTTAGTGTACCTTTTTATAAGTCGTTCCAGTCGTTGCGATAAAAATTTGATCACCTTGAAGTCATGTAGAAATGTAACACAACATGCAGTTGACGGTATGTATTTAAACATGACAAAAAACGTGTTAGTGAATGAAACAAATGACGATGAATCAAAACAAATTATCATTATTTATGATTGTTTACGTCCAACATGTCTAAGAAACCCCAGTGAGCGTGAAATTCAGAACATTACAGAGACAAAATAATGTGCCTAATTCTAGAGACTCGTCTGACGAAAAAATGAAAATAAATTTCAAAAACTAGTACTAGTATCTTTGCAAAAAAACAGAAAAAAAAAACAAATGAGTTTGGGTCGTCTTTTGTCGACTTGTAAATGGTGAGTGGAAAAAGAGAGACTAAAGATATCAAAGGGATATTCAAACTCACAAGTCGAAAACAAGCTGAAAATGCCATGGCAAGCATATAAATGCGTTAGCCTATAATGTTTACCTGTCTTAGCTGATATATGTATCATGGAATATATATACAGGTACTTTTGCTAAGTGTTACTGCAAATTATTCCACCAAAACATTTTCAGTTGTCCTTTAGAATCCATAGTATACGTGTTTTGATTTTAATTTTGCCATTGGTCAGTTTTAAGTTTGACATTTTCCTTGTCGTGAAATTTGCAACTAGATAGGATATCAATATCACACACCAAGTAAAGCACATAGTAAGCAGACTATTGTCGCATTTTCGATATGATCGGTGTTATTCCGTTAAAGATTTCGAATGTATTCACACCCATGCACATGCATTGAAATCAGTCATATCACACGTGTATGTATATAACTTGGATTAATGATATTTAAACTGACTTTTTGTACATTTTCATATACTAGAATTGCTTTTCTGTGTATAAATTATCGATTTAAATTCGTTTTTTTTTATCTTCATAAATCACTAGTAGGATTCATATTAACTTGAGGAATGGGAAATACTCTTAAAAAAACAGAAGTATAGTTCCCAGAGTTCTCCTCTAAAATAGAAAACAAAACATCCAAATAAAAAAGGATATCCAAAACAAATGACACTGAGAAGGAAATACTGTTACATAATTAAATTATTTATATTATATTGAATTGAACCAACTTAACGAGCATTGCGTAACTATGTAGTTATGGTTCCAGGTAAAAAAGAACATATATGTATTTCTATTTGTATTCATCTGATGAGTTAAGCCTTTTTCAATTATTTTTATAGTTTGTTCTTATTTTGTACTGTTACACCACTGTCCAGGTAAGGGGGATGGTTGGCGCCTTCAAACTAGTTTAACCCCGCCACATTCTATGTCAGGAGCCTGTAATTGAATGGTGATTGTTGTTTTTTGCTGTTTATCATATTTGTTTTTCGTTTATTGTTTTGTATAGTGTGTTCTTGTGTTGTGCTGTTGTTGTCCTGGGTTAGGGGGAGGTTTTGGCGCCATCTAACTAGTTTATCCTCGCCACATTCTGTATATGCCTGTCCCAAGTCAGGAACCTGTAATTCAGTGGTTGTCGTTTGTTGCTGTGTAACATATTTGTTTTTCGTTCATTATTTTGTACATAAATTAGGCCGTTAGTTTTCTCGTTTGAATTGTTTTACATTTGTCATTTCGGGACCTTTTATAGCTGACTATGCGGTATTGGCTTTACTCATTGTTGAAGGCCGTACGGTGACCTATAGTTGTTAATTTCTGTGTAATTTGATATTATGTGGAGAGTTGTCTTATTGGCAATCATACCCCATCTTCTTTTTATATATAATTGCTTTAATATTGAAATGACTAGTCGGCTATTAAAAATGCATCATACTGAAATAAAGTTTGGTAAAGTCGCTTCATTAGAATTCTCTTGTTCACCCTACTACAGTCCTAGAGGAGCTAAAGCTGCAGAAATCACGATATCAAAGGCAAATCTTTTGCAACAAGATACACTTTCTATTGTTATTTGTTTGTAACTATATATTTCTTCAATTTCACAACAGCACAAATTTGCTTCTATCAGTAAGTCGGTACCATCGCTAGTGAACTGTCAGTCGTGTAGGTTACCAACCGCCCCGTAGCAACTGTTTCAGTTCTAGGGAAATTCAAATGAAACATTTTGATTGCAAAATTTTAGATTCTAAATTCAGCAATTGTATTAAATAAACATCTGGGTTTATCCAAAAGAAAGTAACATGATCGAAAATCAAAACCATTTATCTATGAGACATTTATCTATGTAAACAACACTTCGTCATCTGGGAGAAATAAAAATTTATTATAAACAGGAAGATTTATTCGGGAAAAACGTTTTTTGATAAAATCTTCTGGGGTATTTTTACTGATACTTTTATGTACACTTCCTGGAGCATGCCATCGCCACTCCTTGTTCACTAATTTGTATAAGAGTTAGGGAATTTTGTAAATGTGTCACTTATTTTAATCAGTATAAAGAGTTGCAATATTCTTTAACATTAAACTGTTTCCTTTAGTATTATTTACAGTATGTGAGTTTTATCAATAGATTTTATTTTTATCATAAACAAAATAATTGAAGATATCGTAAAGTTTTTCCTCAGAGATTTTTACTACAATATGATTAAATGCGATTTAATACAACCAATGCGTTTTAAGCTTTTAATCTTATGAGAAACTACAGCAAATTTGATATATACTAGCAACTATTTCAAATTTCAAATATGTGCGCAATTTTACCAGACCGTAATGTTTTGATTATATTGTATGGGTATGTGCAAGTCATATTTGTTGATTTTGGTAGACTTGCACATTATGTCCCGTGCCATACGGTGATAGGTAGACATTTACGGTATAGAATTATAATGGTTCAGTACTGGATAATACAAAAAACAGTGCTTCGCACGTATACTGTAATACCTCAATTGAATGTGCCCAAAATTAGGACTCTCACTATATGTATAACTTACCTGAAATGCTCGTATGGCGGGTGATGCATGCATAACATGGGATGATAATATGCTGTCGACGAACCTAATCGCTCTCCGTTTGGAGTCCATGTGATTCCCCAAGAGTTTTTCTCTTGGTATGTTAATGAAGGTTCAAACTTCTTCAGGTAAAGTTGACCTTATATAGGTTTGGCCCTTCTTTTTGTGTTTTTTTTTTCATATAGTTCCCAAAGTATTTATACATCCCCTGCTTTGAAATGTAGGTTTTGAGCGTTCCTGGTGACGCACAAAATTTATAAAGTGATGACGTCTTTTATTTCAGACTGCAATGCAAGCTCCTCTGATGCATATTATGTAGATCAAAGCGCGTCAACCGTAACACGTTATATGACTGGTACCTTTGATGAGTTTTTATCACTTGGTCGATGACACTGCAGACGGACGTTTCATAATCAAGGGTATCAGCAATCCAGTAGTGTTGACATGAATAATAGATCGTTTCGTCTATAAAAGACTAATCAGTGACGCTCGAATCAAAAGGTTAAAAAATCTCATTAAAGTACGAAATTGAAAAGCATTGAGGACCCAAATGTCCGAAAGGTTTTGCCAAATACAGCTATGATAATCTGTTCCTGGGGTGAAACTCCTTAGTTTTTCGAAAATTCTAAGTTTTGTTAACAGTTAATTTATGATTATGACCATATCAATGATAATTCATGTCAACACAGAAGTGTTGACTACTTGGCTTGTGATACCCCGGGGAGGAAACCTCCACCAGCAGTGGCCTGGACCCAGTGGTTGTAAGTAAACTCATCATAGAATTATTTCATTGATATGTTCATTTTCAGTAAATTGTCGGTTTATAAAAGTTAGTATTATTAGAAGCACTAAGGTTTTTCTAACCCCTGACAAAGATGTCCTTAGTCGTACTTGACTCAACTTTTCTGAATTTTTGGCTTGCTATGTTCTTCAACTTCGTGTTTCATTTAGCCTTCCAAATTTTTTTACTCAAGTGCCTAATGAGATTTTACATACCTTTTATTGTTATGGATATTTTGATTAAGAAATCCACGAAACTTTCTGTGAGACAATATCTCATTTTCTTTCTGTGAGACAATATCTCATCTTCTTTCTGTGAGACAATATCTCATTTTCAAGTTTAATAAATCGTAAGTAAATAATGAAAAAGAAAGTAACTTGTACACATGGTGAAAGACTTTTTTTTTTATTTTTGACTGAACTCTAATTTTCGAAACAATGAATTTCCATAATTTGTTATCTGAAAGCGTTTTCATGTTTGTTTTTTTTTTGCGATAATTAGAAGAGATACATTAATAATAACAATATGTGTTCTGGGTTTTTTTTCTTAAAATGAAAGAGAAAACATCAATATCGACATCTTAAATGAAACAAAACCAAAATATATTACTCTACATTTATCATGATATATTATTGTCCATGAAGATATTTACATGTGATAGCGTTGCATATGAAATTTCAAAATGGGATGTTAATGAGTCACTGAAAAGCATCTTCAAAATTAGCAAAATTAGAATTCATTAAATTATCCTGTTCTTCTTGTGTTGCCCTTCGATAAATGTCATTTTCAAAAGTCAATGGCTGTTCTTCTACTTGTGTCTGGTCTGTACGGAACGTCTTATCTTGTGGACGGAATGTCAACTGATGTTCTGGTGTAGCACTCTGGTAAATGTCATTATCAAATGCTAATGATGGTAACGTGTTCATTGCTCCATGTCCTGGCTGCCATTGAAATGTGTTGTCCATATATGATTGTCCATTACTGACATGTCGTTGTTTTTTACTACAGATATAGAAATGTGGACATTATATTAATATATATGTATCACCATCAATCAGGGGAGAATAGAAAGGAACTAAAGAAAGAAATGTTAAAATTTGTTTACGCCTAGTTTAACGGCAAATAAACTCTCTGATAAACCTGTGTCAACAATGACGTTGCATCACAAACAAATATTGTTCCATTAACGACGTTGTTCACGACAACGTGATAGTCTTGACAAGTCCAATCCAAACAGTTAATTTAGAAGGTAGTACATGTACTTTACGGTGTCAGTTGAAATCGTTTAATGGTAAGTAATGTCATCGCAATTTAAAAAAAAAACGTATTTATATTCTTTTCAATTTAATATCACTGTAAATAAGACTTGTAAACAAAAACAATTCTCGCAATAGGTTATTCCTATAAAAATAAAAGTAAAAGCATAAAAAATGACATGAGCAGATAACAAATCAATTATGGAAAAATTTTAGATGAACAGAATTATATTTTACTTTAATAGATAAAAAACATTTCAAGAAGAAGGAAAAACAGAATTACAAAGAAAAAAAATGCAATTTATGGACTACAGGTAGTTACCGATTATATCTAAGTAGAACAAAAAGTACTATAGCTATCAAGACTACCAATCCAACTGCAATCATTAGTAAATACCAATTGTCTTTAAACCATGCCTGAAATGATTCGAAATAAACTCATCATAGATACCAGGCTTAAATGTTATACTTGACATTAATATTCGTATTCATGCTACAAAATGTACAAACTGATTTAAAATGAAACAACGAAAAATGTAATTGATAAAATATAGAATATTATTTCCACTGGAACACATATTACAGTATTTATTCCTAACGGAAAAAACGGTATAGAATATTTGTTTATAACACAGCTTCCACGACAACGTGAGGCGGGACAAATATACGTTGACAGTGCGAGTACACAGTGCATGCTGTTAAAGTGGAATTTTGGAGGGTGTTTTTTTCTCCAACAATTAAATAACATAAGCGGAAAAAGGCTTAATTAAAGAAGCTTACTTTGTACTTTTAAAGACCAATACATTTCAACAAAACATTAAATATAGTTTGCATACCTTCTTTGGCATCTTTTGCCGTTCGACAATGGCTTCTGGTTGTCTCAAGCCAGCAATACTTCCATTGTACAACTTAAATGGAAAATCATTTTCACCTTTTGTCATAAGGCTTCTTAATTCTTCTAAGTTTTCTCCGCATACTTTTGTACCGTTGATTGATAAAGATAAAGAAACATTGGATACCATGTCTCTGAAAGAAATCAAACAAAATCGATAACATTTCGTTCTGAAAATTATTTTTGTAGTCATAAACCATATGATTTATGCACGGGAATTGAACCTAGAGTTTTCGGCGAAAATTTTGTTGCTAAATCGTTAGATTTCTGTGAAGTGTATTGTGTCTAGTTGTCATTTCATCTGTTTTATTTTGGCCATGGAGCTATATGTCTCTTTTGTCAACCGATCTAAGTTTTAGTACTAGCACCGACCATTCGAACTTTTAGTGTTAGTGCTAGATAGTAAATCCAGAAAAACGCTTCAGCCGCATGAAATTCATAAAGTATTGTTTTCCTTTTTTACAGCACTGGGTCGAGACCGGTGTTGGTGGGCTATCAGTCCCCCAGGGTATCATCAGCTTAGTAGTCAGTACTTCAGTGCTGACATGATTTATAACAAACCTTTCTTAAATTGTCCATTTATAAATCAACTCATCATAGATACATTTATATATTTTTAAGAAACTACGGTTTCAACTCCCTCACGTAAAGTTGATCGTAGATTGATGGATTTTACTTTTATGTTATGTTCTTTTAGATCATATAGTTCTTCAACTGTTTCTGTTTTTATACATCCTTTGCTTTCAGATATTCGGTTTTGCGCGTTCCTGTTGAGGGTAGATCCTGAAAAGCGCTTTGAATGCATGAAATTTATGAATATTTTTTTTTTCTTTCTGCAGTGTTATTTCAGTATGTGTACTTACAGAAAATAAAGAGTCGCAAGTTAATTAAGTTATTTGTATAAATGCATACTATTAATTTCAGAACACATAACACGCAGTTCTTGAATAACTTTCACAATGGAAACCCACAATTGTTTAGTCAAGGAGCTTGAGGACCAGACGAGCCTCCATAAAAAATGGTCAATGTTTCATAGTTGTTGTAGGATTATATATAAACTCATTTACTTTGCCTGAAGGCAACATATTCATTCATAAGACTAATACACTGCTTTATGCTAAAAATCATTCCGCAAAGAAAAATATGATGTATACCCTTCATTGTTCTTTAGCCATTCTGCTGATCCATATATATCCAAAGAATCTACGCCATATCCAGCATATTTATTTATAAGATGTTTTACTCTTGAAACAATCTCCTTTCTAACAGCCGGTGTAACTTTTTGGTCAAGATAAATCACAAATTGATCATTAACACCTGAAATAAATTTTGAAAGATAAATCATAATCTAAAACATACACAGGCTTATTTTCGTGTTAAAGGTAAACTCAAACTAGATGTATATAATAAATTTTGAAGTATGATCACTTTATCATTTTAGTGTTTTCTCTTCCCTTCTTTCGTTTCAATTATATTTCAAGGTATTAGGAAACTTGATAACTTATGTGTTAACATATGAATATAAATTCAACCTCCAGACCACAACAACAGCTGCGTTCAAACAAAATCACAATATTGACACCAATCATTTGAACTAAGCATGCACACCAGTGAAAGATAGAAATAGATTTTACAGATATTAATTAGACAAATGTCAATGCCCAAATATATGTTGTGATACATGATCATGTGTTTTAAAACATAACCCATTCACGTGTTAATCGATTTTCTTCAAACTCATCTGTTCAATTCAAATTTGAAAAAAAATATAGGTAGTATATTACTTATTCACCGATGAAAATGCTTGATTCGGGTGACTTAACCTTTAAATTATCCGACTTCTACCTCAGCAATTTCGGATAAAAATTAATATTTTTCTCAAAAAGCATTTCTTAAATCAAAATGGCCCTTGCCTCTCGAAAGAAATAGGAAAACATATGTACGATTAATGCTGTAATTATAGATAATCTCATCATGGATACCAGGATTAAATTTTATATTTAAGCCGACGCGCGTTTCGTCTACAAAAGACTCATCAGTGACGCTCGAATCAAAAAAAGTAAAAGGCCAAATAAAGTACGAAGTTGAAGAGCATTGAGGACCAAAATTCCTAAAAGTTTTGCCAAATACAGCTAAGGTAATCTATTCCTGGGGTAGAAAGGCCTTAGTTTTTCAAAAATTCAAAAGTTTTGTAAACAGTTTGTTTATAAATATGACCATATCAATGATAATTCATGTCAGCACAGAAGAAGTGCTGACTACTGGGCTGGTGATACCCTCGGGGAATTAAAACTCCACCAGCAGTGGCATCGACCCAGTGGTTGTAAATAAACTCATCATAGATACCAGGATTAAATTTTATATTTACGCCGACGCGCGTTTTGTCTACAAAAGACTCATCAGTGACGCTCGAATCCAAAAAAGAAGCTCATATGACGCAAAAAACGCTCTTCATAATATACTTATCTTGTGAAAGTTTCTATTAATTTCAATCATTTAATACAAACAAAATTTGTACTATCCTGCAACTTGACTCATAAACATGTTAGTCGATATAGATTATAGTGAAATAAAAAAAATAATTGTCATATTTCATATGATTTAGAACATTCAGTCATAACATAGAGACGAAGAAGAAGATGCTAAAATTAAGAGAAATATTTAGAAATGGAAGGACCAAGACATATATATACTTCTACAAACAGTCATACTCGTGTATGTGCAAAGAATAAGAAGAATAGACAAGAAAATACCATGATATGCAGTTATTTGAGAGTATTGTGACGGCACCAGTGAGAAAAGCTGACATTGTGACTTGCTACACTTAATTACAAAAAGTAAAAGAATACAGAATAAAACGAAATATTCAATATACTCTGAGAGTATGTATTTGAAGCTCGAATATGAATAGTGTCCTTTTAGTCGTTTCGATATTTGTATGCAAGCAAAAATATACAGGGAACATACCGTTACATACTAGCCCGCTGTCTTCAATTTGAAACGGTAATATTTGTTGTTCACAATGTTTTCCTCTAAAACCTGTATGACAATGACATAAACCTGAATTATTAGATGCAACGCAAAGTCCGTTGTTTGAACAAGTTATGTTTTTACAAGGTTCGATTGCATCTGCGCATATTGGTCCCTCATAGTATTGAGGACAAACGCATTTGAATTGTCCTAATTCATCAATGCATGTTGCATTTCCATGGCATGGTTGTGAAGAACATTCATTTATATTTTCGGAACAATCTCTTCCCGTAAAGCCATGCAAACATTGGCACTGGAAACTCCCAATAACGTTCAAGCATGTAGACCCATTTGCACATGGATCCTGAATGCATTCATTGATATCTTCGCCACATGTTGTTCCATAAAACCCATCAGCACACATGCAGCTATATCCACCATCTTTATTCTTACATACCCCTCCATTTTTACAAATGCCGTCATCGCATTCATTGACGTCATATTGACAAAATAATCCATTCCAGGCATCTGGACACTGGCAATAAAAGCTTCCATTTGTGTTAACACAAATTCCACCATTACGACAAGGACTACTGTGACATTCATTGATATCAAGATCACATACGTTACCTGAATAACCCTCTGTACAATAGCACATAAATGCACCGACTAAATCATAACAAGAGCCGTTATTAAGACAAGGATTTCCTAAACATTCGTCTATCTCTTTATTGCAAAGCTTTCCAGTATATCCCCATTTACATTCGCATTCAAACCCATTAATTTTATCTTCACAAACGCCCCCGTGTAAACATGGAAAACTTGCGCATTCATTGATGTCAATTTCACATTTGGATCCAGAAAATCCATCAGCGCATGTGCACAGAAACCCACCATCAGTGTTCTTACATACCCCTCTATTTTTACAAGCATCGGCTTCGCATTCATTAACGTCAGATTGACAAAATGAGCCATTCCACGCATCAGAACACTGACAATAATAGCTACCATTTGTGTTAACACACATCCCGCCATTACGACAAGGGCTGCTATCACATTCATTTATGTCAACATTACATATGTGACCAGTCCAACTCCCAGTACAGAAACACATAAATGCACCAACTAAATCATAACAAGAGCCGTTATGAAGACAAGGATTACCTTTGCACTCGTCGATCTCCTTTTGGCATTTCAATCCAGTGTAACCTTTCGCACATTCACAAACGAACCCATTTATTCTATCTTGACAAATAGCACCGTTCAAACATGGTGAACTGTTGCATTCGTCGACATCGACTTCGCAGAGCTGTCCTGGAAAGAGAACCAGTAATCAATCAAGAAAATTTTTAATCCTGGAATCTATGATGAGTTTATTTATATTTTCTTTCAACATTCTATTCATAGTCATGTAGAAAACGTGTAATATATAAAACAAAAAGATTGACTGGCATCACCAAAGTTAAGAGACACTAACAATCAACAGACAGGTCGTTCAGAAAACAAAATATATGAAGGTGGACATTAAGCAGTAACATATAGACCTTGGGATGTGTTTTAGTTGATTTTAGTCTCTGATGCATGATTTTATTATCAATTGTTTCTGGCTTTTAACTATCTTTCAGTAACTGTGAGTACTCTCAAATCGTACTTTTGTGTTAATTCGACCTGTTACACAATTTGCAATGCATTTTTGTTATTCAATGTTTACTTATTTTGTGTTATATCTCGTTTCACTATTTTTAATATGTACCACCTTTGGTAAGTATTTAGAATGACGTTAAATTTTCACTGCTGTTCTCGTACTATGAACAACAAATTTATTTATTTTGTATTAAATATCTCCGTACTCCTAACAACAAAATTATTATATTTAAATTTACCTGTGTACGTAATTATATTTAACGCCATTTTGTCCAAGGTTATAGTTGTCTTATTGACATTGTGTCATAGATCAAATGCATTCGTTTAGTGTATGTTTACTGGTTATTGTTAATATGTCTTTTTGATTGAGTTAAGCCATTTTAATTGATATTTTATAGTGTGTCTTTCTATGTTGTAATTTTACACATAATATTTTAGGGTAGGGTGAAGGTTGGCGCCTGTTAAAACGTTTAAACCTGCTTAAGCCTGTTTACTTTTTACACGTTGTGACTTGGATGGAGGGTTGTCTCATTGGCACTCATACTACATCTTCTTATTTCTATTGATAGCATGTCTCAATACAAAAATTAAAGTATTTTATGGTAAACTCAATTATGAAGTACCTAAACCGTTTATTCAAATATGAATCTGGTGTCGGAAAAGTGATATGTGTGAAACATTTAGAAAAAAAATGCTTTGTTATGAGCATATTTAAACGATTTTAATCTTGCTTAACGATGTGAACGACAATTTAGTATTTCTATACAGACCTCTAAAATGTTAAGTTTTCATCCAACTTTCTGCCCCTCAAAGTGAAACTTTATCTACATCTCCTCACTTATAAGAAATATTTAGAATGTATTCAATAGTGCATCTTACTTAAATCGAAAAGACCTCGTTGCACAATAGTTGGATAAAAACGAAAACTTCTTGACGAACTCATCAGTAAAACACAAAATATGACAGATTGTGTTGTGTACTAACCTGAGAAACCCGCTTCACATGAGCAATAAAATGACCCATTTGTATTTTGACACGTTGAGTTTCCATAACAGTTGACATTTACACATTCATCAACATCTTCTTCACATTCAGCTCCAGTCCAGCCATCCGTACAGTGGCATCGAAAACTACCGATCGTGTTTTCGCACGTTGATTTATGTTGGCACTTATTACTTTCACATTCATTTACATCAGTCCCACATAGATGACCACTCCAACCCTTACCACACTCGCAATGGAACTTAACGTCGTTAGGGTCCATCATGCATGTGCTGTTACTCAAACAAGGATTTTTCTTACATAAGTCAGTTAACGAGTCACAATCTTCGCCACTGTAACCATATGGACACGTGCATGTGTAGTTGTTTATAAGGTCTACGCATGTCCCGTTGTTCTTACAAGGAAAGCTGGCACACTCGTCTATCTCATTCTCGCATTTTAGACCTGGAATAGCACAATATATTTTAGGTACTAATATATCTAATTTGTTTTATGAATCTAGACTTGAGATTATAAATCAATTTTCATCAAAAGAAATAACAAAATATTGAAAATATAGTATCACCAAAAACAAATCACTATTCATAAGCAGAATAAACCAGAGCTCGAGGACGCAAAACACCTATGAGTAAAAAGAAACAAAATGAAGTAAGGCATAAATCTTGAATCTTTTCTCAAATACCGAAGCCAAAATTCAGACAATATTTTAAAAGCAATGGTCATCCGCTTGAACAAATAAACTGAGCAGTAAAATATCAAAATAAATATGTAGAAAAAATGTCTGTGGGTTATATATGTGTCTGTTTAAGTACATTTCTTTTTCGGATTGCAGTTTTCCAAAAAACAGAAATATGACCTACGTACTTACCAATTATGATAATATTCATAAGTGTTTCTGTTCATATTTCAACTTAATTTTTAAGATAATACTTATGTCATCCTAAATCACGTCTGGAAAAAACGAGATCTTAAAGATATAAACATCTATAAGCATGCTCCAGAAAAGGACCATTTTCCTCCTGTGTCAAATATGAAGGTAGACTACCAATTTCAATTCAATAATCATCTCAACGTACCTTATTATATAAATGTACAGAAAACATTAACAAAATTCCCGAACACCAAGGTAAATTCAAAAAAGGGAAGTCCATAACACCTGACAAAATCAAACGCACGACAATATCAACGGAACGAATGGGAAACAACTCTCATATTCCTGACTGAGTACAAGCATTTTCTGATGAAAAAAGTAGATTAAACCTGATGTTATAGCTAGCTAAACCTCCCACTTGTGTGACAGTTGATATAGTTCCGTTATATTAACAAATTTGGGAGAGCATCCCAAACAGACATAATTATAATTTGTTAACGTAGCAATAATTGGGATCCAGCAGCCAAAACTGTGTTAACATACAACATCACTGACACACAAAACAACTGACTTAAAAATTCAAACAAACAAAGACATAAATCTGTCAAAGATGCCAACAAAAGTTTTGTTACAGTTGATAGTATAACAGTATATCAAAGTATAATAACAACAACAACATATATAATAAAGTATATTATTACATTGGTAGCATTGAATTACATTGATTTCCCAGTCAAATAAAAACCGATAATTTCACATGTGAAATAAACGTGGTTATTTCACTCTCTGACGTCATACAACAATAGGCGTTGTCAAGACGTCGATAACGTCGGATCAAAACAAATTGTGAATGCGTAGAAAAAAGATATAGTTCCTTACATTTTCTACATTAATTTCATTAAAAAAAGCCATTTGCCAATGTAATAAAAAGAATAACTAATCAAAGAATTCAAATATCGAAAAATATTCAACTCGTGACCGAACAACACTGATAATTAACTCATGCGCTACGCGCATTCGTGAATTAATGTGTTGTTCGGTCACTCGTTGAATATTTTTCTCTATTTGAATTCTTCGATTAGTTATTCTATAAATAACATATATACTTTCACGATAAACTACCAAGCCGCATCAGTAACGCCCAAATCCAAAACCCCGGTAGCTGAGTGTACTAATACCGAGCCACGTCAAGAGACCTGCGACCAATAGGAACATAATAGTGTTGATTAAAAAAGGTAAAGCTGTTAAGTAAATAAAATGATACACAACGTCAGCGACTAGAATCTGTAACTCAAGACCATCATGTATAATTTGTGTGGAAGACATTGGCTATTTACCTATTAGGTCTTTGTACTTTCCGATGAACTTTTTGAGAAAAAAAAGAATGAAACAAAACCCAGGCTCATTTTTCTCTGACACCAATGACGTTATACAAAGTTTGAGTAGCAGCTTCAAGCTCTTGAATACCGAATGAGTTGAGAAATGTATACTCCATACGCGTTTGAATATTGCTGCTAAGGTGAGGGAAAATATTAGCGTACAAATGTTATTTATCACACGTCGAAGCGCAAATGCTGTAACCAATTAAATTTCGCGAGCGATTTATTCGCGCAACTTAAACATCGGAATTTTGGTTTGTGTTACAAACCCGATATCGGGATTCGGGTTGAGACATGAAAATCGGGATGATACCGCCAAAATTGTAATTGTCGGCAGATCAATTTAAAAAATTACTTTCGCGTATTTATAAATCGTCGATGATATGTCAAACTTAGATCATCCATCTATTACGAAAATGAATCATGTCAAAGCCGACTATAAATGGCACATGAAAAATGTTTCTGCGAAAATAATTTGTTTTGTAGTAATCAAAACTCTCGAATATTTGTGGTGAAAGAAGACCCCTTAGTATACAAACATCACATATCATGCGATTTCAGAGATCTATTGTGTAGAAAAGGTTGGAATCGAGAAAAATCTGGTTATACCAGAATGTCAGTCGTACTTTATAGTAATATATTTAGATTTATCATACCAATGTTCAGATGATACATGTACTAGTATATCACAAGAAAAATATGGGTTAAAAATAATCGGATCACAAGTCCAGGTTAAAACAGGAAAAATATGGGTTGGAAATAATCGGAACCATGTAATATAAATGTAATGCAGAATGAACCCAGCTGCGTCGACAGGGCATGCATCTCTTAATAACACTCCTTAAATACAATTAAAGCAATCTGGAATCTTTGATAAGTTTTTGAAACTGTATTCAAACCTTTTAATTTTTGCATAGTAAAGGTTTACCATCGAGACTCGATATTTAGTTTTCATGGAAAAGCATTCAGAGCACTATGCAAATTAACCCGAAATTTCGAGTTATACCTATGGGGGACCCTTCATTTCTTTATTATTTAAAGAGAGGCGAATGATACCAAAGGGACATTCAAACTCACAAGTCGAAACTGAACTGACAACGTCATGGCTAAAAAGAAAAAGACAAACAAACAGCAGTACACAAAACACAACATAGAAAACCAAAGACTGAGCAACACGGACCCCACCAAAAATTGGGGGTGATCTCAGGTGCTCCGGAACGGTAAGGAGATCCTGCTCCACATGTTGCCCCGTCGTTTTGCTCATGTTAGTACAAACCCGGTGATAAGTCTAATTTGGTAGGGCACATTCGGTGAAAAGGGCATATGGCGTTTATATCTGTCTATATAATTAAACGATATCGATTTTGATGAGTTTTTACTGAGAGAGGAATAGTCTTAGTCACAAACTACTCGATCAAATCTGTGAATACCGCCTGAGAGTGTTGAAGTTGTAAGATCGTTATTACGATTTGGTTGGTCGGAGCATTAACCTTATTGAACATTTCTCTATATTCTTCATTCATTTTTTCCCTTATTCTCTGTTCTTTATAATTCACCACCCAATTATTCTTTATTCTTTATTTTTTTTGGCCTATTTTTCTCTGTTCTTTCCTGATCCTGATCCTTAGGTCAATATATAGTTTGACACAACTGGTCTCTTTGTGCTAGCTTGTTTCAGCTTGGTACTGTAGTTTCTCTGAGTAATGTCACATTGTATACTTAGGTTAAATTGTTTAGGCGCAGGATCGGAATTCTTCAGCGCTAAGGTTATCTTGGAATCGCCCTGAACTCTTTAAATATTCTCCTATTATATTCGCTGTTCTCTCGTATGCCTCTTTCTTTGCTGGTGCTAGTAGGGTCTGGAGATCTATTGGGATGTTATGTATCTCCAGCTGTTTTTTCATTTCTTCTAGTTCCTGGTGGTATCTCGTATAGTGAAGTAGAAAATGTTCTGTGCTTTCTTCTTCACCACATTTGCAGTATGGCGTGAGGGATTGGCCTATCTGATGGCGGTATTTATTAAGCCTATTGTAGCCTGTTCTAAATTCCGACATGATTTACCCTATAACTGGATAATCAAGTGGATAGGTCTTACCTACAATAGGAACTAATGCATGTAGTTGTCTCCCAGTTTCACTTCTAGTCCATCTATTTTGCCATTTAAGTTTTGTTGACATCTTGACAAAACTTTCACATCTGACATTGTTATGACGTTGTACTGGTCATTTAGACTTGCGGCCTCCTGTGCTGCATCTTTTGCTAACTGGACCGCTATCTCGTTCCCGGCTATATTAGCATGGCCTGGGATCCAAGATAGGATAGTTTGTATGCCGCCTCTCAGGGGGGTTCCAATGCTTTCTTTAATGTCTATGATAGTGTCGATGTAGTTAGTTGACTTCCAGTTGAGAGTCAAGATGCCAACATCTGTCTGGCTATTTGATAGAATCTTTGCTTCAGTGAACTGTTCTCTAAGTGTGTAAATGCAGTGTTCCAAGACCATAAGGATAGCTACTAGTTCCGTTGAGAGTATGGAGCCTCTGCTAGCTACTGGTCTTTTTAAGCTTGTTCCTTGGTGGTTCTCAGTATATATTACTGCTCCTGCTCCACATGGTCCTGGATTTCCCGGACAGGGGCCATCTATAAATGCGATAGCTGTTGAATCAGAGCTTTCTCCTATCAGTTCTTGTACAATTTGCTTGCTTTGGGCAGTTTGTTCTGCGGTTCTGTTTTTCGAGCTTCCCAATCGGCTCCAGTAGCTTGGTGCTCTCATTAGCATAAAATCCGCTCCTGCCTTGTAGGTAAACTCTGGCTCTATAAGTTTTATATCTACTTTTGTTGTTTTTTGCATGTCGATGGCTTGATTTATAGCCTTACCAAATAGAGATTCTCGTCGTTCATATGTATCATTGTTGGTAAGATACTCCCCCATCTGTTGTTTGATTGGTTCGGATATGTTTTTGATTGTATTTTTACTATTACTCGGACTGAGATTTCTTCCATTCGGAGGTCGATTGGTTGCATATTGGCCTCTACTTCCATTGCTTCTCTACCTGCTGTTCCTGGTAATCCAAGGCAAACTGATAATCCTTTTCTTTGTATAGCTTCCAGTTTTTTCATATTTTCCAATGATGTTATCTGCCAAACTTGGCACGCATATTCAATGATAGATCGTACCATTCTGTTATAGATTTGAAGTAGTTTTGTTCTTGAGATTTTTCTTAGGCCTTTTATTTCTCGTATAGCATTTAACAGCCCTTCACTGTTTATCCATTACTCTATATTCTGTAAACCCCATCCGGACCCTCACCTATATGTGTCTTTAATATTTCGGTATCGTTTGATTGTTATCGCATTATACCTTGCATCTTAATGTATACATATTCCGGAAATGTTAAATGAATTATGAATTTGATCTGAAACTTACCTGTATAACCTTCTTTACAAACACAAAGATAGGTTCCCATGCTGTTGTGACATGTAGCCTCGTTTTGGCAGGGTCCGCTCACACATGCATCTTTCTTTACATCACAGTCTGATCCAGTCCAATCTGCAATGATTGTTGTATTTGTAATAATTTGTCTCTGTCTTTTACTCAATGTTTAATTTAATTATTAATACTGATATATAATGATATTTTATTTTTCTCGGTAGATAGCAAGTACGTCAATTTGTATGAATATATAGATTTCGTTTCATTATTATTATTATTATTATTATTATCATTATTATTATTATTATTATCATTATTATTATTATTATTAAATTTTTATTGTTTTGTAAACGATTATGTATTTTTTTCAAAATGATATCATAGTCGTTATTATAAAAGTATCAGTTTGTCTAGTCTACCTTTGGCATTTACTACATTTATTGATATGATAAATGACAACATGTACATTGGGTCAGTAATATATACTGCAGAAAAAATTCGTCAGTATGGTCATGTGGTCTGTTATCAGATTAAATACCATTTGCAACATCAATGCAGACAACGAACCTGTGGTACATATTTTGGCGCCGTTTATCTTGTTACATGTATATTTCTCAGATTGTTTACAATATATGTCACATCCTCTGCCATAATAATCAGGATCGCAATACACCTTTATCTGAACCGTCATTCTACAATGAAAAAAAACACAATTAAAAGGTCATAAAATAGTTTCAGAACAGATCTCATACATGCAGTTGAAAATCCCAATCGATCATCAAAAAGAAAAGGAGAAAGGAAATAAAAACAGCTTTTCGGAAAGGCTTTCTAATATGGGAAATATCAAGACATTTAACCATGTCTAGCATGAGATTCTGGAAGAAAAAGAACACTCTAAAAAATCTTTAAATTTCTCTTTCTGATGAACTGATGACATCTTTATATAACCCATTTCTTTGTGACTAATTGCATCTCATATATATTCCAGTAAGATTTAAGTTCCAGATATTACACAGTCAAGAAGGTTTGGTTCATATCGACATCATTTTCGCTGGGCAACTCAAAACATGGATCTATGACAAAGTTGAACGGACTGATTTTAGCTTCCTATTAGCTTTTCATTCTTGGGGAGGTAAAATACTACCTGTCCCAACATATGGCGTTTATCTGTCTATATAATTAAACAATGTCGATCTTTGATTGGTTTTTACTAAGAAAGGAATAGTCTTAGTTACACACTACTCGACCAAATCTGTGAATAGCGCCCGAAAAGATCGTTATTACGGTTTGGTTGGTCATAGCATTGACTCGGTTTTATATTTATATACTATTGTCCATCTGACATTGTAAAAAGTAAAATAACAAAAATACCAACTCCAAGGAAAATTCAAAACGGAAAGTCCCTTAACAAATGGCAAAATCAAAGCCCAAGCACACCAAACGAATGTAAAACAACTGTCATATTCGGTACAGACCATTCCTTATGTAGAAAATGGTGTCTTAGACCTGGTTTAAAAAAAAATGGCAATTGCTTACATCCACTTCATTTTAACTTTCAAATTGGTGGATAGTTGTCTCATTTGCAATCATAACACATCTCCTTATTTTTATAAGGTAGACACTCTATAGACAAAGCACATTAGCAAAAATGAAAGACAAGAATACAAAACTAAATGACCATAGCACAATAACACAATGGCGGGATGTATAAATACCGAGTCACACCAAAAGGATATTACCAAAAATGGACTAAATAGTAAAGGTTAAAAATATACAAAGACAAATAAAAAGAACATTATAACAGTTTCGACATTTTGCCCATTTTGCCCGCTTTGATACTTGCTACTGGGTATTACTTTGAAATCGACAGTTGTTTAATTTGAGCATAGTATTGGATGCTTATCCTATCTACTTGCAACTATTGTCTCATTCCATTTAATTCAGATTGATTTGAGTCAAATGTGTCTGTTTTTGTACACGGATTTTATTTTTATGTACATAACCTTTTATTTCCGAATACTTTGAATGCAGTTGATCCAACCAAAAGTTCATAGTCCGATATTACTCTGACGTACAGATTCCCGTTTTTAGCGCTGTCTGGAATCGTCCGTCTAAAGATTAAAGACGGTCCCAGCGAAATATAAAAGAGGTCATCGAATGTCTGAGCAATCTCAGACTATAAGTACACAAATTAATTTTGACATGTGACTTTTCTCCTTAGTAATATATAAGTAAGAGAGCCATGATGATCATTAAAGATGTTGTGCTTTTTTTGAGAAAATAATGCTGCTTTTAGAATTTAAAAGAAATGTTTAGAAATATTCTGGAGAAGAAATTTCTGGCTATAGGGAACGCGTAGTCAATCCATACAAAAATATTTTCATGCTTCTTAAAAGTATAACTTACCTAACCCTGTGTGAAAGACTCAAAGTGGTTACTATTGCCGTTGTTTCATTATAATCTGGGTTATATTTAAAGTAGTATTTAGCCATATAATCTACATAATCATCTCGGTTATCGTCGTCGTCATATATATCTATCTTTAACTTACAAGATCCCTGAAACAGAGATGATCATTCATTAAATATCTTCTTGGACTCATATTTTCATTTTAAGTTACAAGACGGTTAACTAGGGGCGAATGTGTTGCATCTTAACTTGTTTCAGTATAAACCTTCTATTTATTTGAATAAGAACACGTTTATAAAGAAAAATGAGCTGAAACATCCAGAAATTTAATTCAAAATGTCACTAATGATACAAAAAAAATATGGCGGGTCGATGTCCAAATTGGCTGTGACTTAAATTGCAAAAATATAAAATATAATACTTATTACTTACACTCCATCTATTAAATGAGAATGTCTTTGGATTTGGAGAGGAGCCGATCCTACTTCCAAATGTGAAAGAATTTTTGTTAAATGTGGTAGCTGTACTCCAACGCCCATAGCCACACACGTTTGTGTTTTGTGGTCTGAAACAGCAAAATAATAGTATTATTGATAAATCAGTTGTATACTGGTACCTTTTCATTATGCATTTTAAAAACAGCAATACAAGCAGACAATCCATATTAATCTTCAGACGCACGCGGCTCATTCTAAATTTCTGCATTTTCACAAATCTTTAACTGTGATTAAAATCGAATTAAAACCGCCGATATTGGAAGTAAGTAGGGAGGTAATACCTCATTTCAGTAGATTGAGAACGATGAGTTAGCCTTCGAAAACTGCGAAAAAAGTTTGATATGATATGATATTGTTTGTTATTGTGTTGTTAGTACTTTGTTTTCGTAATCTATTATACTGCTGTTACAAAGTAAATTGTCTTTCTTCACTGAATTTTACTGTGTTCTTTGATAACCTTTTGGTCAATATTCAATAGGATAGGGCTAAGGTCTCAATAACTAGCTTAACACCTTATTGTCCCAAGTCAGGAAATATCGTTAGTAATTTCTTTGATTATAAATCAATGTCTATGATTTTGTCATCTAGAAATTTTATATTGATGGCTTTGATAGTTTATGTTGAATATTCGCAACTTTCTGAGGTTGACAATATTGTATAGACTGTTTTCTTCTTTTTCTTCTAAGACCTCCTAATTCATATCTGTGTTTTGTGAAGTTTGTTTTGCTATTTAATTGACGTGAACTCCACATATTTTATTCATCTTAATTATTATGAATATCAAACCACTAAACTATTGATAATTAATAATTCATTTGTGTCAACCAGTGGTTTAAACGACAAAACATTGCACCTTAATTCACTTAAAATATGCGGATTAAAATAAAGACATTTGATATTGAAGGGTCTTAGATGGACAATGTCCGAAACATGACGAACCCAAGTGCTTGACATAATAACTACAATCCGGAAATAATCAGTTGACTGATAAGCCATTTCTGTTTACATTAAGACAGTTTTCAGAACAACAAAATGTTATGTCGCACCAGTAAATAAATGGAATAAAATAAAGATGTGCAAAGAAAGAAGTACTATGTATATCGTTAATGGTCACCATTTGTATTTTTATTTTTATTAATGCAATCAATCCATTTTTTTAAAAAATCGTCCTAAAAAGTTCAGTTTATACAAAAGGGGCACTCAATACAAAATATAAATTTCTGGAAATTATTTAATTGTATGATGAAAGAACATACAATTGACACGAGGGGTTGACGAGTAAGATAGCGGACTTCTGAGTTTTCCAGTGTTTTTTGGGAGTTTTTTTGTTTTTGTTTTTGTTTTGTTTTTGTGGTTTTCCGAATGCTTAATCTTTATCATAATATTTATGTGAATAATATAGTTTTGTACTGTTTGTTTTTGTTGCTTGTACATTAGATTATATATCTGTATTTTTTTTGGTTTTTTTTCTGTCTTCGACTAATGTTATATCGTGTCAGTATATTATGGCATCTTCTTCTTCTTCTTACGAGCAAACATTTGACAAACAAGAAAAAAATAATAAATTTGAGAAAAAAACTCGCAGATGAAGCGAAACGTTATGAAAGTTTATTGCAGTGGCCGATCCAGGGGTTTCCGGGGTTGGAACCCTTTTTTTTGTTTGACAACTAATGCTTGTGTATAGGGACATTTGATTGTAACCTCCCCTTTTTATATAGCTTGCACGGTGTTGGAACCCCCTTTTAAAATGGTTAGATCCGCTTTGTACATTAAATATTGACAATTTAGTCCTAATTCTACTCACTTTGAGAGTGGCCGGGCATTAGTTTCTTGTTTAATTGCATATGGTTTAACACGTGTACCTACCCATTTATAGTATCTAGACATATAATAAATCTGTGGTCGCAATCAGAGCCTCTTATGAAGAACTTCCCGTCACAATAATGATTGTTAGCTCCTTTTCCTCGACTGTTACTGAAATTAACCAATTTGAGCCATAGCTTGCCTCCACACTCGATCTCCTACAAAAGTGTGTTTTTTTTGTGAGAATATAATAAGGAATTCTTGTGTTTATGATTTCCCTACTGACTCTATTGTTATGCCTTAAAATGCTTACCCTTAAACTTTCGTCGGCATATTTACTAGTGAATTGTGACAAAATTCTAGGCCCCTCCATATACTTCGGGTAAAATACAGGCAAACTTAAAATGGTTGTTGCTCTGTCTTTGGTGTTCTATATATGTAGGGTATGGTAGACTGTTTGTTTGTCTTTATCAGATTTTCATCGACTAATGAATTTTGATTGTCACTTTTGTATTTTCTTTCTATTCTACTTTTCTATCCTATATATTTTTCTTGAGCATGTTAAGGGAAAAACTCTAAACACAGTCACACATACCTTTGTTTACCTCTTCGATTCTATTCACAGATATTGTAAATTTAAGTGTTTCTTTTACAGATATTATTAAAGGATGTATGCACTAATTGTACATTATAATATATTACATTTCAGGACAGCTGAAATCCATTTTATATTTATAACTAACATGAAATAAATTAAGCAGCTTCCTTAAAAATTTCAATAAAGAGCGTACATCTTATGAATAACAAGATGTGTATATGATATATCAAACTTCCATGTGGACATTGTTCTTTTTTCCTCCCTCTATACGTAGATCAGAGAATGGAAACGGGGAATGTGTCAAAGAGAAAATAATCCGACCAAAGAGCAAAAAACAGCCCAAGGCCACCAATGGGTCTTCAACGCAGCGGGTAAAATTTCAGCTGGCCCATAAACAATAATGTATACTAGTTCAGCTAAATACATTGGAATCGAATCCAAGCTGACTCTTTCCGAATTAATTACATTTTTCCACAAATTAACTTTGATGTAATAAATAGAAACAAGACGGGGACAAGGCTGCGTCATCATCAAAGATATATATATATATGTTGTTAATTTCATTCGTACATTTCAGACAAAAAAATATTATAGCGTTAAACATTTGCAGATGGTATAACTATTTCAAACAAAGCGGTGACATTTTACGATTTCTAAAATAATGTTAGGCTAATAATATCACTTGTAGGTTAACCTATAATAAATTTAATAAGATCTAATATCCTTAATTTTCAAAGACAAAAATAACTTTTTTACTCACCACCATAAATAAACACAAAATTAAAAACAAATACATCCATTCCATGTTGATGAAACTGTTAAATTGAGGTCAGAAATGCTCATTCACAATTGTCTCTTAACAATCATATTTATTTAAGTGTACGCTATTTCCTGTCATCCAATTTTAAAAATTCCGCATGTACTCCATATTAAGTGGAAGGCCGTACTAGATTATCATGTTTTTGATCGGATGACAACTTCGCTTTTGTTTATTCGTGTCAGAGGCTGAGGTTAGAGGTCAAAATCATTCTGCGTGTAAACTGATATGATCTGATGTTATTAGTCATTACTTGGGGTTTGTTTTTGTTGACTTGAGAAAAACCTCAAGTACACATTAAATTAGTTTGAGATGGTTCCATATGGAACGCCACAGCTGTCTTATGTGGAACTCTGATATTACTTTATGTTGTTTTATTATTACTTGATGATATTTTGTCTTTACTTAATATGGTTTTGACATTACGTAATGATGTTTTGATATAACTCAATATGGATAGACATTACTTAATGATATTTCGATATTACACGATATGGTTTCGTATTGACTTGATATAGTTTTGTCATTACTCAATATGGTTTTGTCATTACTCGATGTGGTTTCACCATTATTTAATGTGGTTGTGTCATTAGTCAATGTGGTTTTAACATTACTTGATGTGAATGTGACTCAACGTTATGTAGTTGTTTCATTACATGATGTGGTTTTGTTATTTCGTAATGATGATTTGCCTATTCTTTATATGGTTTTAACATTATGCAATGATGTTTCAAAATTTGACGATTTTACACTACATGATGTGTTTGTTTCATTATTTGATGTGGTCCTGTCATTCTTTGATGTGGTTATCCCATTACTTGATGAGGTAAAACCACGTGACCAATTCGGAAAAAAATATGTTCTATTTTTAAACAGATTTCAATACATCGTTTGTTTAATGTGCTTTGGATGGGTATCGCTATCCATTGAGTTAAAGTTCAAATTAAAGTTCGAGTGGTTGTTCAGAGTTATTTGGTATGAAAAAGGGGAACGGCAGACAATAATAAGAAAAAAGTATTAAAAAGTTTACAGTATTTCGGACATAATTGGGATATCACCAAACCACTTGGTCCTGTTGTTTTTATCCTAAGTTCTCAAACGGAAGCAGTATTTTTGTAATAAATTTGTAAAATATTCCACGGAACCATGTGTCTCGCCTGATATTGCTGCTTCATGGAGGTTTACAAATTTATCATGTCAAAACAGTTTAATTCGGTTTTATTTAACGAAAACAAAACTGTATGGTTTTCAACAATGAGCAAAACCCATACCCTATAGTAAGCTATAAAAGGTCCCGAAATGAAAAATTTAAAAAACTAGAAACCTAACGATCTATAAATAGATACATAGATACTTTATTCTCTAAAAACTAAATACAGGTTTACAGAGAAACATACAATATAAATACAGATACAATAGTCGAGGTAAACAAATACAGTATGATATTCTAAAAGTACAAAATTATGATGGCATACATGTTTAGTAACATGTATAATGAAAGGTTAAACTCAATAGAAATAAAAAAATGGAGATGGAGACGCCGACGCCACTATCGACGACGAAATATAGGTTTGTTGTGTCTCATTGCCGCTACATTGATGTCGCAGGCTCGACACAAATCAAAAGACTTGAACTTTATTGTTAACAAATGAAACACTTCAAATCAACTGACACTAAAGTTACAGGGAAACGGGGGGAGGGGGGCTCGGACTAAGCGACAAAGCATCAATACTATAAATTAAGAATTCTCCGATTTTTTTTGTAGAGTAAATCATCATGAACTTATACGAATATCAATCTTTTATTTGTAATCAATTGAATTCCCTGATCTACCTCGCACTAATTGAAAAATAAACTTTTTGGAATATCTGTTTCACATGTGACGACGGACATGTTCCAGCGGTCGTAACCATAATACCGTCATCTTTTCCTTGAATGTAAACTACCAAATAAAACCAAATCACTGGGTTTGTACTTTCTCGAATAACACGACGGGTGCCTTTCTGGAGCATCCGAGATCACCCCGATGGATTTATATTACCCAGTCATACCGATCTATTGAATCAGCCAAATGAAACTGTTTTGCATGCCACCGCAACTGAAAGTTGGGGGGCATATTGTTTTACCCCTGTCTGTCCGTCCGTCCGTCCGTCCGTCTGTCCGTTCCATTATGGGTATATAGTTATTCCGCATAGCTCCTCCTACAGTTTGAATCCTAGGAAGTTTTCTCTTTACTGTCTGTTTGTACATATATTGAAGGTGTGCATGTGGTCAGGGTTTAATGTTTATCAATATTTGCTCTTTTGAGAGATAGTTGAACTTTGTAATTTTTTGGGAAATTTACTTGCATAAGAAGAGCGTTTCCAGATAACTCCTCCTACAGTTTGAATGCTAGGAAGTTTTCACTCTGCTGGCTGTTTGTACATATATTGAAGGTATGCATGTGGTCAGGGTTTTTATTTTTATTATCTTTTGCTCTTTTGGGAGATAATTGAACTTTTTTTGGTCATTTTTGGGGTATAAGCGGTTAAATGAGTTGAGTGCGGGGGCATCACTTTGTTTAGTTTACATTTTTTTCTCGTGTTGTGCTGTTACACAACTGTAGCAGTCCGATGTAAGGTTAGGATTTAGCGCTCACATACATGTTAAACCCCGCCATTTGCACTTTCTTTATGTACCTGCCCCAAGTCAGGAGCATGAAGTTCAATTGTTGTCGTTGTATAAATGTGTGTTATTTTTTTTTTGTAGATTGTTTATTTATAAATAAGACCGTTTGTTTTTTCGTTTGAATTTTTTCACATGGTGCATGGTGGCCTTTTTTAGCTGACTATACGGTGTGTTGAAGGCTGTACGGTTGCCTATACAGTTGTATATGATTTCTTACATCCACTGCATCTAAACTCTGGTGGATAGTTGTCTCATTGTCAATCACACCACATCTAGCTTTATTTCAACTTCTATGTTGCGTTTTGTATACGGTAATATTGTTTATCTTTTGTACGCATACCCCGGAGCCCTCTTTTCGGAAGCCCGAGCAAAAGTCCTTGTTCCGCGATAGAAAATTTAATAACGAACTCATATAAAATAGCTCGAATTTCAACTCATAATCTTAATTAATCTAAATGAGACTTAAATTCGAATCTTACCCAAACTCTACCTCAAAAAGTGACTCAAATTTAATGTTGTAACTAGAACTCTACCTTTAAATGTGACTCAAACTCGAAGCCCAACTCGAAACTCAATGCTAACTAAAACTTTAATTCTAATAATGACTTGAATTCGAAATCGAAGACTAACTCAAAGTTTAACTCAAACAGTAACCCGAACTCTAATTCGATGGATGGCCACACTCATCCAAGGCACATACAACATGGAAATCTATCCAAAAATAGAACAGGTTTTTCCGAATTGGTCACGTGATTTTACCTCATCAAGTAATGGGATAACCACATCAAACAATGACAGGACCACATCAAATAATGAAACAAACACATCATGTAGTGTAAAATCGTGAACATCATTACGTATTGTTAAAACCATATAAAGAATAGGCTAATCATCATTACAAAATAACAAAACCACATCATGTAATGAAACAACTACATAACGTTAAGTCACATTCAAATCAAGTAATATTAAAACCGCATTGATTAATGACACAACCACATTAAATAATGGTGAAACCACATCAAGTAATGACAAAACCATATTGAGTAATGACAAAACTATATCAAGTCAATACGAAACCATATCGTGTAATATCGAAATATCATTAAGTAATGTCTATTCCATATTGAGTTATATCAAAACATCATTACGTAATGTCAAAGCCATATTAAGTAAAGACAAAATATCATCAAGTAATAATAAAACAACATAAAGTAATATCAGAGTTCAACATAAGACAGCTGTGGCGTTCCATAGTTCCATGCCTTTTACTTTGCTATGGCTCTACATATAAAGGAAAAGAAAAAAATAGCAATCAGTAGTAAATTCAAAGACTATAATACAATACAATGTAATATATGTCTGTGGTAAATTTAGTAAATAAACAGAGTTAAAATATAATTTAAAAATGGTACACTTTGAAAAAAAATAAACAACATGAAAAACGACTTAATTATGTATTAATCTATTGCGACAAAAAAGAAAGTGTTGAATAAAGTCTGCATGGTCCGACATAGTTACCATGGTTACTCAAATTCAATCGTACGACAATAAAAATAGCATGACTTTTTACAATTTGTTTGCAATGGCTAAATGAGGTCCTTTTTATTTCTCCATAATCATATGATTTTATGTTGTGATATCACCCAATCGATATGTGTGTTTCCTATCCTTTAAATCTTACATTTAAATAACTAACAAACAGAAAAACACAATTTTACGTATAATACGATCCCAACTAAATTTGGAGAATAAAAGCCTATCCCACCATTTTTTTTTTTAATAATTAAAAAGCTAAAAGGGCAGGCTAAATCTATAGTTCATAGTTACAGCTATACCTAAACTTCATCATAAAGTAAGATCATTTCCATACGACATATTATTTATTAGTCATGGTAATCACATACTCTCATGTTACTTGAGATCAGAGACATATATACTGTTAATAAAAAATAAGGTTCTAAAATAATACATTGAAATAAAAAAATGTACTACGACAACTCAATAGTAAAATTTATGCTTTCATTTGGGATGGTAAACCCGACAAGGTAAATCGGGAGCTTTTATGTCAAGAATACTGCAGATGTGGTTTAAAAATGATTAATTTGAGAAATTTTATACAAGGGCTAAAATTGACCTGGGTTAGAAGATTATTTAATGCAAATTCAAAGTGGATCAAATTATTTACTGCTACACAAATTATGAATTTTACAGAGTTGGCTTATTTTGGAACAACTAAAAATTAGATAACGTTTTTTGGAAAGAAGTTATTTGTGCCTGGAAAAATATGTCGAGACTCCGACATCCTCACTATTTTGAGGAAGTCATATCTTCATCTATATGGAATAATGAGAACATTAAAATTGATAACGTCAGTGTTTATTATAGAAGTTTGGCACAAAACGGGGTATGGACTGTGAATGACCTTCTAGATGAGCAAGGAAATATATTGTCCTATCAAAATTTTGAACGGCTATATACTTTTAAACCCACATTTTTACAATGTTATGGTATTAAGTAGCATTAAAAAATGGTTACAATCTATGGGAATCAACACTGAAAGGAAAAAAAACAACAAGCTTTGTTACCTTTTAATATTAACATTTTTTTCAAGTCAAACAAAGGTTCAAAAGACATGTATAATATTTTAAACCAAGGTGAAATACCAGTTGTTATTGCAGCTGAGCGAAAATGGGAGGGTATATTGAATAACGTTGTAGGAGATTGGAAAAAAATCCATAATTATGTCACTAAAATTTCAAAAAATACCAAGCTCTGTTGGTCTCAATACTGAATTATTCACCGTAGTTTAGGTACTAATACTTTACTTTTAAAAATGAACCTTGTACAGTGTAATTTATGTACATTTTGCAAGGAAGAACCAGAAAGCATAGAACACTTATTGTGGGGCTGTCATATTGTAGCAGACATTTGGCACCATCTGAATGCTTGGATTTTTGAAACAACACATATTGAAATTCCACTAAATATTGGTATAGTCATGTTTGGTCTTTATGCATGATAACTATAAACTAAATTTTATAAAAAATAAAGTCATTTTACTAGTAAAATATTTCATCTACAGATCTAAGATGCAAGAGGAAAAACCTCATATAGAGGGACTTAAAAACTATATCAAAGAAAACTTAATTTTAGAAAAGCATATTTCCTAAAAAAAATATGAGTGCGAAAGATTATAACATGTACTGGAACCCCGGCTGGGATAAAGTCATTAATTAATTTAATAGTGAATTATTATGTATAAATGTGTTCCGACCGTGCAAGGGCTGTATAGCCAGTCAAGGTCGTTAAAAACTTCCATTTGTTGGAAGGGAAATGTGCATACATGTAACAACGTCATTAACACTAAGGTTAAACACCTGAAACAGTGTTTCGTAGATGAATAAATAAACAGATCATATATTTCACTTGAAAATGTCATTCTAGGAAAACATTGTGCTCTTCCCTGATTCAATGTCATTTTGACTATGCATGTGCATGCTGGTATGAAGGTATATCAAAACAAATGAAGAATAAACTTCAAGTGGCACAAAATAAGATTGTGAGATTTATTCTGCAATTACATCCCAGAAAGAGTGTGACATATATTGAATTCAAGAAATTGGGCTTTTTAAAAATTAGTAATAGAGTCAAACAACTAAGACTCAATCATGTTTTTAACATTTTTAACAATATATGCCCAACTTATTTACATACTATTTTTGTTAAAAATGAAACCTCTTTCAATACAAGATCTAGTAGTAAAAACTTTTATATACCAGGAATTAAAGGGTGTGAATCAACCACTTTCTTTTATAATGGAATAAAAGACTGGAATTCGTTACCAGACATGATTAAAAGTTGCTCTAAAAAATATAATTTTAAAGTGTAGGTGAAAACATTTTTGAAGGATAAATTTAAATCCATCTTTAATAGTGAATTTGTTTTTTATTAATTATACTGGGGCTTTGACCATTTATCTGTGATAAATTCTAAATGATTTGTGCTTGTATTTTCTATGTGTCAACCCTTGGTGTAAACTGGAAGTCTTGTTATAAAAGGACCCCACTGGAAATAAGTTTTACTAACTTTTGTGGGTCATCCTAAGATATTAGGCTACAGTGTAAAATCTAGTCAAGTTAAATTTCACTCATTTTTAATCTAGTTTAAATATCATGAAAATTTTCATAATTCGCGCAAAATCTCCCACTGAGGGGGAGATCTCCCTCTTTGAGGGTTTCAGAGGTTGGCAGGTATGATACTTCGTCCATATATATATTGTATTCTGTTATATCATATCGTATTAGTATTACTATTTTTGTTTACTCTTATTTGCTTGATCATGCTTATTTTTCTTGCTTGCTTTATTATGTGCCACTATAGATAATATATGTAAATGCCTGTCAATCCATGATGAATAAAAAAATATATATAAAAGAAAGAAAGAAAGAAAAATCGATTGTAAATTTTTGTAAATACTTTATCGTGTACTCAATGATCTTTTCGAAATGGCTAGGTAGTGATAAAATTCCGAAACCAGTTGTCCGTTTACAGTCCTACGATTATCTTTAGAATTGGACTTCCTGTCGTTTCGTTGTTTACAAACGCTTTTTATTCTTCTTATTTATTTTCTGTTTATAATCTGTAAGTACAATTCTGGCAAGCTTTGTTTGTAAAAATACACATTTGCTGCTGAAAACTGAACATATGACCAATATTATTTTTTTGCATTGCTTTTTAAACATAAATTTAAATCACGGAACGTTGTTTTTGTCAGTTTGTCACGTCACAAATTTTCATTTGTACATGCACACCATATTTAAGGTGTGACTGCCAACGCCTACCACGTATGCATGATCATGATTACCCAATACTACATTCACAATAATTTTGCTGTTTTTCTTAAAAGTGCGACAGGATTATCATGATTATTGAGAATTGAACCATTCTTCCTAAATTGTAAATAAAAAAAATTAAAAAGATTTTTTTTGTGCTGCTTCTCCCCTCCATTTTACATTTGTTAAGTGGAATCCATGAAATACCATCAAAACCAAGATAAGCCTTTGTAATAGATCGAAAAAACCTAATATATATGGTCAAAGCAAGGTGACATTTATGATCGATGGAGACTATAATTTGTTGAAGTCTATCATTTTTATACGACCGCAAAAAATTTTTGTGGTCGTATATTGGTATGACGTTGGCGTCGTCGTCGTCCGGCATCGTTGTCGTCCGAAGACACATTGGTTTAACTCTAACTTTAGTTTAAGTGAATGGATCTTTTTGAAATTTTACCATACGGTTAAATACCACAAAAAGAAGGTTGGGATTGATTTTGGGGGTTATGGTACCAACAGTTAAGGAAAAAGGGGCCAAAAATAAGCATTTTCTAGTTTCCAGACAATAACTGTGGAATGGTGTATGGATCTCTCTGAAATTATACTACAAGTTTCCATACCACAAAGGGATGGTTAGGATTTGCTTTGGGGGGTTATGGCTCAAACCGTTTAGGAATTAGGGGCAAAAAAGGGGGAAAACAAGGTTGTCCTGGTTAATGGACAAATACTTTAGTACAAAACATAATTTAAAGCAGTGTAAGGGAGAAAAATCAAATACCTCATTGAAATTATCTCCCTTACACAGCTTTTAAATTATGTATAAAGTAATGGTTAATGAACAATAAAGATAATTTAAAACAGTGTAAGGGAGGTAACCCAAATACAACGTTTTGGTTACTTCCCTTACACTGCTTTTAAATTATGTTTAAAGAAATGCATATTTATAAAGAAAGACCAGTAAAAATATCTGCAAATGTTGCATCTTTTTTTTTTTACAAAAAAATCCATATGAAAGATTTGACACTATATTTTTAATTCTATTATAAAATAGATTAAGTTAGCACTATGGTAAATTTAAATGGGTAATTATGGTTGCAAACTCCATTGGAAATTTGAATTGAGATTATGACCATATCTTGAGGGAAAGAATTTTTTTGGGGAAAAAAGGGGGGGGGGGGGTAAAAAGAAATTGTGGGGGGTCAGTTTTTTCTCATTTCAGATTTCAGAAATTAAAAAGAATTATTCTTCAAATATTATTTTTTTTCAAATTTCAAATATTGAAAAATTTCAAGAAGAGTAATCTTTAATTGCACAGTATGGCGCATTAGATTTGTAAAATCTTTGATCACATTTATTAATTTGTTATGCCGAATCTAACAGTGTATTTAGATTTTTAATTTTGGGTCCAGTTTTCAAATTGGTCTACATTAAGGTCCAAAGGGTCCAAAATGAAACTTTGTTTGATTTTAACAAAAATTGAATATATGAGGTTCTTTGATATGCTATATCTAAACATGTATTTAGATTTTTGATTTTTGGCCCAGTTTTCAAGTTGGTCCAAATTGGGGTCCAAAATTAAACTTTGTTTGATTTCAACAAAAATTGAATATATGGGGTTCTTTGATATGCTGAATCTAACCATGTATTTAGATTTTTTATTTGTGGACTCCACTATCAAATTGGTTCATATTGAGGTCAAAAGGGCCCAAAATTAAACTTAGTTTGATTTCATCAAAAATTGAATTATTGGGGTTCTTTGATATGCCAAATCTAACAGTGTTTTTAGATTTTTAATTTGGGTCCTGTTTTTTAAATTGGTCTACATTAAGGTCCAAAGGGTCCAAAATTAAACTAAGTTTGATTTTAACAAAAATTGAATTCTTGGGGTTCTTTGATATGCTGAATCTAAACATGTGTTTAGATTTTTGATTATGGGCCCAGTTTTCAAGTTGGTCCAAGTTGGGGTCCAAAATTAAACTTTTTTTTATTTCAACAAAAATTGAATATATGGGGTTCTTTGATATGCTGAATCTAACCATGTATTTAGATTTTTTATTTGTGGACTCCACTATCAAATTGGTTCATATTGAGGTCAAAAGGGCCCAAAATTAAACTTAGTTTTGATTTCATCAAAAATTGAATTATTGGGGTTCTTTGATATGCCAAATCTAACAGTGTTTTTAGATTTTTAATTTGGGTCCTGTTTTTTAAATTGGTCTACATTAAGGTCCAAAGGGTCCAAAATTAAACTAAGTTTGATTTTAACAAAAATTGAATTCTTGGGGTTCTTTGATATGCTGAATCTAAACATGTGTTTAGATTTTTGATTATGGGCCCAGTTTTCAAGTTGGTCCAAGTTGGGGTCCAAAATTAAACTTTTTTTTATTTCAACAAAAATTGAATATATGGGGTTCTTTGATATGCTGAATCTAACCATGTATTTAGATTTTTTATTTGTGGGCCCCGCTATCAAATTGGTTCATATTGAGGTCAAAATGGTCCAAAATTAAACTTTGTTTGATTTAATCAAAAATTGAATTATTAGGGTTCTTTGATATTCCAAATCTAACCGTGTATTTAGATTTTTAATTTTGGGTCCTGTTTTTTAATTTGGTCTACATTAAGGTCCAAAGGGTCCAAAATTAAACTTAGTTTGATTATAACAAAAATTGAATTCTTGGGGTTCTTTGATATGCTGAATCTAAACATGTGTTTAGATTTTTGATTATGGGCCCAGTTTTCAAGTTTGTCCAAGTTGGGGTCCAAGATTAAACTTTGTTTGATTTTAACAAAAATTGAATATATAGGGTTCTTTGATATGCTGAATCTAACCATGTATTTTGATTTTCGACATTGGACCATAATAGGTAAATTAAAAAAATTCAAGTTCTTAGACCACATTCTTTCTGTGTCAGAAACCTATGCTGTGTCAAATATTTAATAACAATCCAAATTCAGAGCTGTATCAAGCTTGAATGTTGTGTCCATACTTGCCCCAACTGTTCAGGGTTCGACCTCTGCGGTCGTATCAAGCTGCGCCCAGCGAAGCATTTTATTACTCATTTCAATCGTATTTTTACTTCAAAATATTGCAACAATTTTTGTTGCATATACATGTACGCAACTTCCATGTGTTTCCATATGGAAGCCGTAATATTGCAAAAGATAAATACATTTGTAACTCTAGTAATTTAATCATGTTAGTAGGTCATTTTGACTGTCAATTTTATTTTTCCTACATATTTATACTTATATTCATTTTGTTCATCATTTGTACATGTAATAAAAATGTCTGTTTTTAAATTTTTTCTAATGATCAGATGCTGTCCTAAGGAAGAAATTTTTGGTGATTGTTATAATGTACATGTTGTTTTCATGTTTTATCTCATTTTAATTCCCCCCCCCCCCCCCCCCCCCCCCCAAAAAAAAAAAAAATAGAATAATAGATATTTTCAGCTCAGTTACATTTGTACATGTAATTGTAGATTCAGATTCAGATTCAATATTTTATTATAGTCTCACCACATATACAATTACATATATTTACACAATAAAATATTCATACAGGTACATGTACATAAAACAGATAACAAGAAACATTACATTAACATTGTACATGTATGTGCCAATCTTAAAAGATTTGTGAGAGACTGTACAAGCAATATTTAAATACAGTTTGATAATGTACATATTATATATAATATATATTTGTTTAAGAATATCACAAAAATACATTTCCAAAAAAATATCTTTTGTTGACATGTCATCATAATCCAATTCTGGGTAGTAGGTATACATGTACATGTAATCAAAGACATATATTATTCATTAGTTATAACTCCCTGAAAAGTAGAAAGATAATTATAAACTGAAACTGTAAATTTAAAAATTAAGCCAACAAAAAAATGTGTTCATTTAGGATTTTCTTACATAACTTAAGTGTCTAAATTTTGACCCCTTTTGCTGGGATTTGATTTTCATATGTACATGTATGTTGTTGTATGAATATATGCAAAATATTTATGAAAAACCCTACTTTAATATGCAATACAAATTTGAGATATATATGAGTGATTTGTCTTGTCTTTATTGTTGTGCTTTTTATAGTTATTCAAATCTGAGAAATCTCATTCTGCACATGGCTTTACCAGTTTTTCGCCCACTTAAAGTCTTTCCACAGATAAAAAAAAAAATAACAAACAACAAAAGTAAAGGATATTGATTTGTAGTTTCAAAACAAAACTATATTTGATCATATTTTTTCAGACACCATAAACAAAGGAACAGATAATGATGCCACTTACAGAGTATTTATTGTATTCACTGGGTATGATGGCCACATCATTGACTGCTGCTTCAGTTCTTATTTACATGAAAAGACCTGAAATGTTTGTACAGGGATATATGAAGTAGGTTTTCATTTATTAAGAAATCGCTATAAATGCATGATATATACAACTGGAAAACTCTTAGGATTAGTGGATTTTACTGAAAATAGAATAAAAAATTTACATCATATTTTTGTACAACACTTTGGGTTTCTTGTTTAATTGAATACTTGCAGGGAATTTTATTTTCATTACCAAACTACTTATAATTTATTTAATTTTATTTAAAACAAATGTTTGAGTATCACTTATAGCAATGTATTTTGTGAGGATCTCCTGTTATAAACTGTGTCTGTCAATTGAAATACATTAGTTATTTTTTTTATCTTTTTTTCCTAAATGACAATTCCATTTAACCCTAAGAAAATATTCATTTCGCATCATATGACACTGTCGTACTGCAGAATAAAATACCTAAAAATGTCTTATGATATTTTGCTCACCTCAAATGTTGGAAGCTGGGGGTTCATTTCAACCAGACACAAAATTTCTCTTTGCTGCATGCCAAGTAGAATACTTAAGGAGCGAAAGCAAAGAATTGTTATAATATACATGTACATTTTGTACTCACAGTCATGACAGTGAGAGCCATGTGCCTGGTTGGTGAAATGTCTACCCCGTGGGACTGATATCTTGTGAACTAACACATTTAAAATCAAACAAAGACATTTGGTCTTATACTCATATCTCATTAATATTTTAATTTCCTGAACATGGATGTAATATTTCCTGCTGAAGCTTACATGTAATAAGCAGCCATCAATCAGTTATTAAAATCAACATTGAACAAGAATTAAGCATCCTTGTTCGTGCAGATTTTGTACTTGTACAATGTACATTGTAAAGAATACTTGGAACCATTGTGTTTACAGTACAGTATTTAACCTTTATCTACAACAGGTTGGCAGTTTTAGTCAGTGGAATGAGAATTAAGAAGGTCAACATTAGAGATATGACAATAGCATATGGTGAAAGGGGAGAGAAGAAGAAAGGGCAGTCAAGCATTTTACTGCTACACGGATTCTCCGCGGATAAATTTATGTGGTCTCCTGTTGTAGGGGTAAATGTCTAATTATCTTGATAATCATCCAGAATATACATGAAATATTTGCCACTGGATGTTAAGGGAACATCAATCAATCAATCTTTTTGTTGATAACTTAACAGTTCTGATATGATGAAAGTCACTAGTGAAGTCCAGCGGCAAATATTCTTGTATATTTTGGACTATTTTTCATATGCAAAATATTTCTTTTTTCTATCCATTTCAGGCCTAGTAGAATTAAGGAATTATGTACTATTATCAAGTCTTTTCTTTGTGTGACCATTTTGATAAATTTTGTTTACTTTTTTTGTTTTAAGAGGTACTTCTAATTATATGAAAATTAAGTCATTTATTATTTTTATGATGGAAATATAATATTTTGATTATTGTACAAAGCAATTGAAAAATCAACAATTGTTGTAAATAAACCTAAGAGAAGAGAGGGTTATAAGACCCCTTTGATGCCCTAAACTATGGTCAAAGTTAATTTTGTTCTACCAGAACAGATAACTTTGCACCTATTTTATGATTTAGAAAAAGAAATAAAAACATCATTTATCTTGCAATGTCATTTAAACATCTGTTTTGAAAAGAAATGATAAGAAATTTTTTAATTTTGAGCATGTCTAAATATTTTTTGTTTTTTTGTATTTTTTTTGTATTTTTTTTTGGTGGGGGGGAGGGGGGTAAGAGGGTACATGTAGTTAAGGTTGTGTAACTACCCCTAACATCATTTGCAGGAATGATTCTATTGAAATTAAACAAAACACTATACTCACTCTGACAGTATTTATACCTATATTTGCAGAAGTTACCAAATGACTTACATGTAGTAGCTATGGATCTACCTGGACATGGAGACAGTGATGTTCCTCCTGACGATGAAAATCTGTCATTTTATTCACAGATAGAAAGAATAAAACAGGTTTGTGTCAAAAGTTGAAAATTTTATGAATATTAGTTACTTCTTAATATTTCATGAAATTTAATTAAATTTTCTCTTGTACATCCATTGAAGTTGTGTTAATTCTTTCCATACTAATCGAGATAAAGGAATGCATACCATAATTGATCACATGATGGTTGCTATAACATCAGGGTTTTCAGGGCAATATTTAAAAGCATAATTCTGTTAACTTTGGATTTCCTAGGCAAACTACACAACAATGAAATAAGAATAAGAAGATATGGTATGTTTGCTGATGAGACAACTCTCCACAAGAGACCAAATGAAGTAGAAGTTAACAATTATTGGTCATCATACACATTAAAGTACATGTATATTGTGGGGGAACTTCACAAATGTATGTCATGTAGAATGAAATTCATGTGATTATTATTCTCAAGCAAGATAATTTTTATTTTTATACGACCGCAATTAAAAATTTTTTGGTCGTATATTGGTATGACGTTGGCGTCGTCGTCCGAAGACACATTGGTTTTCGCACTCTAACTTTAGTTTAAGTGAATGGATCTCCATGAAATTTTACCATAAGGTTCAATACCACAAAAGGAAGGTTGGGATAGATTTTGGGGGTTATGATACCAACAGTTAAGGAATAAGGGGCCAAAAATAAGCATTTTTATAACTTCCAGACATAACTTGTGTGTTAGTGTATGGATCTCTCTGACATTGTACCACAAGGTTCCATATCACAAAGGGAATGCTGGAATTTATTTTAGGGGCAATTGCCGCAAAATTTTAGGAATTAGGGGCCAAAAAAGGGGCAAAAAACAAGCATTTTTCTAGTTTCATGATAATAACTTGTGTGTAAGTATATGGATTTTTCTGAAATTGAACTACAAGGTTCCATATCACAAAGGGAAAGCTGGAATTGAGTTTGGGGGTAATTGCTCAAAACATTTAGGAATAAGGGACCAAAAAGGGGCCTTAAAACAAGCATTTTTCTAGTTTCCAGACAATAACTTGTGTTCAAGTGTATGGATCTCTCTGAAATTGTACTGCAAGGTACCATACCATAAAGGGAAGGCTGGGATTGAGTTTGGGGGTAATTGCCTCAAAATTTTAGGAATTAGGGGCCAAAAAGGGGCACAAAACAAGCGTTTTTCTAGTTTCAGGACAATAACTTGTGTGTACGTGTATGGATCTTTATGAAATTGTACTACAAGGTTCCATATCACAAAGGGAGAGCTGGAATTGAGTTTAGGGGTAATTGCCCAAAACGTTTAGGAATAAGGGGCCAAAAAGGGGCCAAAAATAGCATTTTTCTAGTTTCCAGACAATAACTTGTGTTCAAGTGTATGGATCTCTCTGAAATTGTACTGCAAGGTACCATACCTGAAAGGGAAGGCTGGGATTGAGTTTGGGGGTAATTGCCTCAATATTTTAGGAATTAGGGGCCAAAAAGGGGCAAAAAACAAGCATTTTTCTAGTTTCAGGACAATAACTTGTGTGTTAGTGTATGGATCTTTATGAAATTGTACTACAAGGTTCCATATCACAAAAGGGAAGCTGGGTTTGAGTTTGGGGGTAATTGCCCTAAACGTTTAGGAATAAGGGGCCAAAAAGGGGCCTAAAAACAAGCATTTTTCTAGTTTCCAGACAATAACTTGTGTTCAAGTGTATGGATCTCTCTGAAATTGAAATGCAAGGTACCATACCACAAAGGGAAGGTTGGGATTGAGTTTGGGGGTAATTGCCTCAAAACTTTAGGAATTAGGGGCCAAAAAGGGGCAAAAAACAAGCATTTTTCTAGTTTCAGGACAATAACTAGTGTGTAAGTGTATGGATCTTTATGAAATTGTACTACAAGGTTCCATATCACAAAAGGGAAGCTGGGTTTGAGTTTGGGGGTAATTGCCCTAAATGTTTAGAAATTTGGGGCCAAAAAGGGGCCTAAAAACAAGCATTTTTCTAGTTTCCAGACATAATAACTTGTGTTCAAGTGTATGGATCTCTCTGAAATTGTACTGCAAGGTACCAATCCACAAGGGGAAGGCTGGGATTGAGTTTGGGGGTGATGAATCATAAGGGGGTTCAAAAAATTTAGTAGAGGGTTTTTTTTTCTTTAAAATTTTCCATTTTAAATTGGTTATTTCTGATTTATATATAAGAGCAAATAATAATGATATGGTTTGAATAGGTAAATTAAAAAAATTTAAGTTCTTAGACCACATTCATTCTGTGTCAGAAACCTATGCTGTGTCAAATATTTAATCACAATCCAAATTCAGTGCTGTATCAAGCTTGAATGTTGTGTCCATACTTGCCCCAACTGTTCAGGGTTCGACCTCTGCGGTCATATCAAGCTGCGCCCCAGCGGAGCATTTTATTGTTGAATCTATAACATTGTTTTAAGAAAAAAATCTTTAAAAAAAACATTGGCCAATCAGCTAAAGGATTAAATGCAAACAATATAAATGCATTATAATTTTAGTTTCTGTTGATTACTGTTTTAACTTACACGTTGTTATCATGCATATACCTTGTCATATGGCAGATGACCTTTTCTTTTCTGTTTATAATGATTCTTTTTCTATGCTTCAGTTATAAGCATACTTTTAACTACATGTATTGCCCTTTGACTTAACCTGATAATTTTCAGTTTACATCCTCTTGATATTATGTACTTATATTTTGGATTTGCACAAGGTAAAGCTGTTCTCAGACTTGTTTATGACATCTATAAACTATATCTGTTGGATGTATACTGATTGGTACCTATGTCTGGGAGAACATGATTTATTTATTAGTTTTTATTGGCTTTGAAATATCTTTCGGTAACTGTTAGTACTCATAGATCTTTGTGTCCTCTTTCTTAATGATATTTGTTTTTGGTGCTCAGCTCAGGCACAGTCACATTCTATATGCGCTTGTCCCAAGTCTGGGGCTTGTAGTTCAGTGGTTGTCCTTGGTTGCTGTATGTCATATTTGTTATTTGTTTGTTGGAGCCATTGGTTTTTGCATCTGTATTGTTTCACATTTTGTCAAATTTGGGTCTTTTGAAGCTGACTGTGCTAGCTGTGAAGGTTTTGCTTGTTGTTGAAGTCTATTATAGGGTGACCTAGAATTCTTTTAATTTGCTGCAGTTGGATAGTTGTCTCAGTGGCAATTATACCACATCTCCTTATTTTATATATATAGATATAAGAAGATGTGGTATGACTGTACATATATGCATAATTTATGCTCAACTTCAGCGGTCATTTTACATGTACAAATGTATGCGTGACTTTTGGCTCATCAGTCATACATACATGTTCATCCGAGTCGATACGACATGTATATTCTGTTTTTTTAATACATGCACTATTTATGATCAACTTTACTTATTATCAAACATGCACAAATCGTCCTCAACTTTACTTTTTTTCATATATGCATAAATCTTAGTCAGCAGTTTATTATAAGCTTTTATGTATATTATTTTATATAACTACAGTGTTCCAGCTAGGCCGTTTTCAGAAGGCGCGGCGCCCGCCCTTTTTCAGTTGCACCCTGTGCCCTTTTTAACGATTTCGAAGCGCCCTGTGCCTTTTTCGTTGCACCCTGCCCTTTTGGAGATCGATGATGTTTGATTTTGCCCGTTTTGTTATGATCCGCCATTACAGATTAATGCGTCCTTGTCAACATTGAAAAGTTAAAAATAGATTTACCTGTGTGTCAATAACAGCTGATCAGTGTATACATAATATGTATGTACTACTAGGATCCATTAATTACCGGTGATTTTAACTCATTAAATAAAAACTATATAACATTCTGAGTTTGTTTTTCTTGTCTTATTTACAATCACAATGTCTAAGTGTGAACGACGATTGAAAGAGGAAATTAAAAAAAATAAAGTGACGAACAGAAGTTTAGCCGACATTTTTAGCACTACGTGAGTTTGTTATATTTTATATTTTTAATTTTGACAGTTACTATTTCCATTTGATTGAAAGTGAATCCAATAGATGATGACATTCTACTGAATGAATGGACATCATTTTGTGAACTTATAGGGGACAAGAGCAGTCATGATAGAACAATCATGGCTTGCCTTAAGTTTTTATCAAACAGTAATTTAGGGTTAATTACACTTTACCCTAACATGATTCACCTACTCAGCACAGCTGCTGTGTTGCCTTTGAGCACAGCAGAGGTAGAGAGAGTATTCTCACAAGTTAAACTCGTTAAGTGTGACCACAGAAATAGGATGAAGCAGGATACATTACAAAACATTTTACATGTTAAACTTAATTGTGACAAGCAATGTTTTAATAAATTGTGTGACAAGGTGCTTGACAATTTCTTCAGTACTAAAGATAGAAAGATAAAGTTCTATCTAGGCTAATGTCATTTTGATTGTGATTGTATATATATATGTTACCTATGATCAAAGGAATAAAACAATGTTTGATTTACATCTTTATTAAAACATGCCTTTTTCAAATTATCTTTCACACGTTAAATGTGCCCTTTTGAGGATTGGCACCCTGCCCTTTTGAAATCCTAGCTGGAACACTGAACTAGCAATATATATGTGTCTGCATTTATCCACAAAATTTTTTTAGATGTACAAATATATTTCTTTTTGATATACTAAATTGTTAGTTTAAATATGAATAAGAATAGTAGTATTTTCAAACAAACTGTCTTTATAATAGTTTGTAGTGGCCATTGGTCTTGACAGTGATCCAATCCATATAGTTGGACTGTCCATGGGTGGTGCATTAGCTGGTGTATTTTCTGCTGAGTATCCTCAAATGGTGGACAGAGTAACCATGATGTGTCCTGCAAGTAAGTTATAGCATACTACACAGGGGCAAATCCAGGATTCTTGAAAGGGGATGTAATTCCATAAAACGGATTAAAACCGCAGAGCAAAGGAAGGCTAAAAATATTTTTGACAATTTGATGCTAATAAAATATTTAATAATTTTTTTGGTGATTAAAAGGGGGGGGGGGGGTTGCATTGTCTCTGGGAAATGTGAACTGACTTCTGTATATATATTTCCAATTACATTTAGTGTTTTTATATGTTTGGCATCTTATGATAGCTCAGTATCACTTGCATGTACAATTTGATTAATTTTCATAGAGGGAGATGACGTTGTATAAAGTTATATAGAATCTTACCGAAAAGGAATGGGCATTATTGTACTTTTATATTATTTATTTCTCTGAAGAAGGGACAATAGTTTTATATAATATTGCAAATATATAATTTTAACAGCAGTAATTTTATATATTTGAAAGTGAGGACACCCATTGAAACAGATGTAGCAGTAAAAATCCGAGAGATTGTGCAATCCATTCTTGACACTGGAAAAGATGATGCTTTACATGCCTGCCCGTTAATACCTAAAACTCCAGATGAAATGCAGTTATTATTAGATTTTGCACAATTCCATAAACCTATATTCATGACAAAACAGGTGAAAAGATTATCTTAATCCTATAATTTAATTTTTGTGTAATGCATAATAAAAGGTTTTGCAGAACAGATCAATACAATTTTGAAGAGACATAGATTTAATTTTTCATGTTTTTTTTTTGGGGGGGGGGGATTGTAAATCAAGATGCTAATACATAAAACAGTGATTATTAAATCACACAACATTAAAATTGTATCTTACAACTATTTTGTCACCTTACACCAAGCAATTGTCATTTCAAATACATTTGTACTCATAAGAATAGAAAGCAAAATTAAACTTGGTTCATAAATTGCAGATTATACAAGGGGCAGTAGATATGAGAAGACCATACAACAAATATTATTACAGATGTAAGTTTATTTAACATACACTTTAAATTAGATGAATTTATTTATACAAGTGATGTTATTGCAGAATTTGTAAAATCTACAAAAAATATTTTGACTTTTGTTTACTGACTTCATGGAACTCATCATAGTTACCAGGATTGAAATTTTGTACACCAGATGCAAGTTTCGTCTTCAAAAGACTCATCAGAGATGCTCGATGTTGAAGTTTCAATAAATAATATATTGAGACAAATTATTTAATATCAATATTTTGAAGTGTCAAAAATAGAATCTAAGTAATTTCGGAGATCAATTTATGGTGTTTATCATGTTCATAAAAGTTAATGTAAAATCAACATAATTTATTTTTTAAGGTAAAGGGAATAAAATGAAAAAACAAATGAAAGTCATGCTTGGAAAAATATTTATCATACGACTTTAGCTTTTGTATAATTGTATAGAATTTAGAATCTTTGATGCCACTTTTTTTTTAAAGTATAAACTTCCTCAATTTTTTTTCTTGTCATTTCAGTATTTAAAGCCTTAGCAATGTTAGAAAACAGCCAGTTATTAGAAAAGATTGCTGACAACATTACAGTTCCAACACATCTTGTCTGGGGAGAAGATGATCAGGTATTAATTAGTTCAAACTTTCAAAATAAGATGTATTTTGAGATGCATGTAAATTCATAAAATTCTCATGGTCTTGACAAGTTGTAAAAGAATTCAAGAGACCAGAACTCCAAGATAAGACAGGCAATGCCTAATTTCCTGATGGACAAAAATTATTATAAAAATACATCCTCCTGATTAAATTCTTGACATCGAACAGGTGCTTAAATCCTGTGGCTACTGTATGTTCTGAAATTGTTGAGAGGTTTTTATTATTGAGTATAATGTAACTAGGTGAGTCTCCAAATAAGAAGAATTTACATTCTGATATCTGATACATATAACTGTTTGAAGATTTTCCTGAAATTGCATTAATTAATCTTGCATTTTTGTTCAATCTTCAAAAATCACAATAAAAAATGCACACAATAATTTCTGAATTTACAGCATGTTAAAGTAGTTTTCACTATCAACTAGGTGGTGCTTCTGGATTTGGCATAACTGACATCAACAATTTTGAAAGTTTTTTATTAAGTCTGTTTAAGGTGACCAACTAACTATAAATTGATAATATTTTGTATGCTGTTGTATTATCATTGGTGCATCTCATTTCAATATAGTTTATGTTACTCCAACACATCAGGCATTGTTTATTGATTTTGAAACTTGTTAAAATGTAAAAGTTTTGGATTAGGTCATTTAAAAGTAGAACCATTTATTGTAAGTTAATGTTATTTTATATGCAGTTATATCAGCATTAATTAGCACAACTCATTTCTATGGAGATTATTTGGCCCTGTCCCCTCAGTCATGACCTATTGAATTTGAATCTTTTGCTTAGTTCTGTGTCAATGTGTTGCCATTTAGATTTCAACATGTGCTTTATACTATTGAAATTACACACAGGCAAGACAAATGTCTGTGTCAACAGTTAATTTTATGTTGCCTTATTGATATATACCTTTCTTTTTTTTCCCTCTTTCTTTATTCAGTCCTTACAAAATTTTATGCTGATTGTTTTGTAACTTTCTCTTGTTTTAGGTAATACATGTATCAGGAGCAGAGGTATTAAAAGGAAAACTTCCAAATCTACAACAGGTTGACATTATACCAAGATGTGGTCATGCTATAAACCTTGACAGACCTGGTGCTAAAACTAAAAGTCTTCTGAAGTTCAGGAAGAAACAGATAAGAGTCCAGTTATGATGAAGAGAAAGTTTTTTATATAACCAATTCTGTGATAGAAAAATGTTCAAAGTATTTTATATTTTTATAGACTGGTCATTTTGAATTAAGCTTTATAGGTGTTCAAGTGTTTGTATTTCTAAATGTGTTCAGATAACAAATACAACCTTAGGTGTTTGAACATATTTTCATGTTTCTCCTTTCCATAGGTTGTATAACTCATGGCATGGCTCCAAGTAACAAAAAAAAAATGTCAAAATACAAATGGAGGCTTCAACTATCATTAGGTCTTGACATATGGTAAAGAATTAACTTGAAAATTAGATAAATGTTATTTTTATTTTCTTCTGAGGAGAATTTTTTTAATATAATTATTCTTTTTTACTCATTTGAATAAAACCAGACAATTTTAAAACCTTTCATACATTTGAAATTTTTAATTTGATTGCATTGTCAGAACCAAGATTTTATATCCTGAAACAAGAGTTCATCTTAACCTGGTTTATTGTTTCAATATGGTTCAGATTATACAGTATTCCTTGTAAAGATGAAAAAGATAATTAACCATTTTCCTGATTTCAGAATCTAAAGGATTATGGATCATTTCATTGTCTGTACCCAAAATGAAAATTACGTCACATCATTGGTTGAATTCCCATTGTTCAGGATGTTGTAACTTGTAAGCCAATTGCAACTTTCTGGTGTACTCCTTACAAAATATTACCCAGAATTCATTAGATTCTGAATCTTCAAATTGTAAATAGGGTTCAGTAAGAATTCCCATCTATGCTTTAATCAAAGTTTTGTAATTTTTTTATTTTTGACTATGCATTCATTCATGAATGCATGAGAACCAAGAACCATTTTATTCTTCCAAAAAATCCAAATGATATTTTTAACAGTAAGTAGACAAAGCATAAGTTTATATTCAAATTAAAAATACATATGTGCCAGCAGTTTTTATTAATAATACCACAAAATTGTAATCTACAGGATTTCAGTATAAATATATTCTAGTCAGTTATGATACTGTATTTATTTTTTTATGAATATTTGTGTAATGTGCAACACTAAAGTTAAAGTGGATTTTTTTAGCTTTCACCTGTTTTTTTACAGTCCACTATGTATATGAGTGTAAATATCACAAGCGTCATGTTACATGGGGAAGATGATATTAACAAATTAATGACTTTTTGTAGTACAAAGCATATTATGATATCATCATTTTCAATTGGTCATGGTCTATTGATTATTTTAAAATAAAATAAATCACCATGCAGAACAGAAATCATATAAAAATCAACAAAAGAAGCAAATTTCTATTTAATCAAATTCATCTTCTTTAATAAGTTGAAGCCAATCAAAATGAGCAAATATATTTTATAGGTTTTAAAAATGTAAGTTATTGTGAATTTTAATACTTAATTTTTGTAACTTTTAATTTGGTATTTTTATATTTTTATTGGAAAAATGGTTTTTGAAAAAGATGATTATAGTCATTAGAAGGCAGTATATGAATGAATGGATTCTTACACAACATTTCAAATAACAGACACTTCTGTACTTGAATATAGGGTTTCAATCAGTAATTGTTGATCCAAAATGGCATTTAAACAACTTGGTACCCAATAACAGCACTCTGGTAGTTGTGTTCATAGAAGCAGTTTTAAAATTTCTCAATCAGTTAATTATGTTCTGTTCAGTATTGTTAAAGCAATCAACAATCATTATGTAAACTTGATTGTCTCCTGTTAATTCTCAGTTACCCAGTTCAAAAAAAAAGACTGAATGATAGGAATTTAATTTACAGCTGTTTGCCTATATAAAGTAAATTTTCTGACAGAGGTCAATGCGAAACATATTGTCCTATTTATCTCTGACATGTGAGTACAGATATTTGAAAGGAACAATCATTTTCACATCTCTTTTTTTATCAATAGTCCCAGGGTTATGTGTTTTATCATGTAATTCTTTTACTTTCATGAAAATCATAGTGCATATAGTATTCAGCATGGTAGAAGTATGGAAGTCATGATGATATTGTTGTTCCTGAACTAATCATGAATTTCTAATTTAAATTTAGATTTAAAGTTGTTGGAGGCAACACTTAAGTTTTATTTTATCATTCTTTATTTGTAGATATATAAAAACGGTTTTAGTGGCCATTTTATCATTCAATTGAACTTCTCATTTTGCATATTAAGGAAATCAACATAATTATGTTGTCCGAGGCTTTTCTGAATCATCTGTTTGATACGTTCCAAAAATCCATGACGACAATTGAAACATTAACATAACCATTTTGAATTTAAAGAAAAAGAAGATGAAAATTGAAAGTTTGAAGTAAGGGATAGTTCATTTAATGTTTTACCCAACCATGACGGACAGTTTCCGTGTTAACCACTAATAGTAAAAAGGAAACTCATAAATGTAATGCAAAAGAAGGAAATGATATATGAAATCATATTGAAGGATTAATCTGATTTCGATGGAAGCTAGATATGAAAAAAAATTCAGATTGACATCCTGGATGTGTTATTTCCCAGATGGAAGTCTTTAAAATAGCTTTAGTTTAATTGTTATTCATAAATTTAATGTGTTGTATTTTTAAAGATTGTAAGATTGTCAGAGAGAGGTTTCATTGAACATGTTTTTGCCAAGATGTTTGTTTTTATCCAAAGTCCAATGGAATATCAAAAGATATATGTAATATTTTTTATAGCACAATTCTAATATGAAGTTCTTCTTTCGCTTTGGAAACAAAGCCATGTTCTAATTCCAATAAAACATGGGCTGCACATGATTGACGTCACAATTGAAATTACAATGTCAGCTGTGTTTTGAACAACGCCAGGAATCAAAATGGACATTTGTATTGGTGTAGCTCGCTAGGAAATTAAAAATCATTCTAAAAGTAAGTTTACATGTATCTGTTCATTTGTTTATCGTGAAATTGTTGATTTTCTATAACGTTTTGGCTTCATCAAATCAAAATGGATGCCTTTGAACGTGTATTATAGGTAGGCTTCGAAGTACAAAAGTTCTAAATTTTCCTATAAGAATCGAAATAATTCTATCATGCCATGTTCTATGCTCATTTTAACATGGGTAGGCATTATATTTGTCAACATTTTACACCTGGCTTATGCTCGGTACATGTATAAAATATTGACAAATATAATTTTTTCCCTCTTTTGTTAATCTTCCCTAACACCTTCATCCAAGGGCAGTATGTTTAAGGAGTTATTGCCCTTTTTTAACTCACCTGACCTGAAAGGTCAAGTGAGCTTTTCTCATCACTTTGCGTCCGTCGTCCGTCGTCCGTAAACTTTTACAAAAATCTTCTCCTCTGAAACTACTGGGCCAAATTTAACCAAACTTGGCCACAATCATCATTGGGGTATCTAGTTTTAAAAATGTGTGGCGTGACCCGGTCAACCAACCAAGATGGCCGCCACGGCTTAAAATAGAACATAGGGGTAAAATGCAGTTTTTGGCTTATCACTCAAAAACCAAAGCATTTAGAGCAAATCTGACATGGGGTAAAATTGTTCATCAGGTCAAGATCTATCTGCCCTGAAATTTTCAGATGAATCGGACAACCCGTTATTGGGTTGCTGCCCCTGAATTGGTAATTTTAAGGAAATTTTGCTGTTTTTGGTTATTATCTTGAATATTATTATAGATAGAGATAAACTGTAAACAGCAATAATGTTCAGCAAAGTAAGATTAACAAATAAGTCAACATGACTGAAATGGTCAGTTGACCCCTTTAGGAGTTATTGCCCTTTATAGTCAATTTTTAACCATTTTTCGTAAATCTTAGTAATCTTTTACAAAAATCTTCTCCTCTGAAACTCCGTGGCCAAATTAAACCAAACTTGGCCACAATCATCATTTGGTTATCTAGTTTTAAAAATGTGTGGCTTGACCTGGTCAACCAACCAAGATGGCCGCCACGGCTAAAAATAGAACATAGGGGTAAAATTCAGTTTTTGGCTTTTAACTCAAAAACCAAAGCATTTAAAGCAAATCTGACATGAAGTAAAATTGTTTATCAGGTCAAGATCTATCTGCCCTGAAATTTTCAGATGAATCGGACAACCCGTTATTGGGTTGCTGCCCCTGAATTGGTAATTTTAAGGAAATTTTGCTGTTTTTGGTTATTATCTTGAATATTATTATAGATAGAGATAAACTGTAAACAGCAATAATGTTCAGCAAAGTAAGATTTACAAATAAGTCAATATAACCGAAATGGTCAGTTGACCCCTTTAGGAGTAATTGCCCTTTATAGTCAATTTTTAACCATTTTTCGTAAATCTTAGTAATCTTTTACAAAAATCTTCTCCTCTGAAACAACTGGGCCAAATTAAACCAAACTTGGCCACAATCATCATTTGGTTATCTAGTTTTGAAAATGTGTGGCGTGACCTGGTCAACCAACCAAGATGGCCGCCACGGCTAAAAATAGAACATAGGGGTAAAATTCAGTTTTTGGCTTTTAACTCAAAAACCAAAGCATTTAAAGCAAATCTGACATGAAGTAAAATTGTTTATCAGGTCAAGATCTATCTGCCCTGAAATTTTCAGATGAATCGGACAACCCGTTGTTGGGTTGCTGCCCCTGAATTGGTAATTTTAAGGTGATTTTGCTGTTTTTGGTTATTATCTTGAATATTATTATAGATAGAGATAAACTGTAAAAAACAATAAATGTCGGCAAAGTAAGATCTACAAATAAGTCAACATGACTGAAATTGTCAGTTGACCCCTTTAGGAGTTATTGCCCTTTATAGTCAATTTTTAACCATTTTTTCGTAAATCTTAGTAATCTTTTACAATCTTCTCCTCTGAAACTACTGGGCCAAGTTAATTATAGATAGAGATAATTGTAAGCAGGAAAAATGTTCAGTAAATTAAGATGTACAAACACATCACCATCACCAAAACACAATTTTGTCATGAATCCATCTGCGTCCTTTGTTTAATATTCACATAGACCAAGGTGAGCGACACAGGCTCTTTAGAGCCTCTAGTTTTACTACTTTTTATATGACTGCAAAATTTTTGCGGTCATATAATGGTATGTTGTCGTCATCATCGTCCAAAGACATTTGGTTTCCAGAAAGTAAACTTATAAGTATGGATCTCTATGAAATTGTACCACAAGGTTCCATACCTCAGAAGGAAATTCCGAATGTTGGGATTGATTTTGGGGGTTATTGTCCTAACTGTTTAGGAAAATGGGTCAAAAACAAGCATTTTTCTTGTTTCAATACAATAACTTGTGTATAAGTGTATTAATCTCTATGAAGTTGTACCACAAGGTTCCATACCTCAAAAGGAAGGTTGGGTTTGATTTTTGGGGTTATTGCCCTAACTGTTTTGGAATTCGGGGTCAAAAAGGGGCTAAAAAACAAGGATTTTCTGGTTTCCAGAAAATAACTTGAGTATAAGTCTATGGATCTCTATGAAATTGTACCACAAGGTTCCATACTAAAAAAAGAAGGTTGGGATTGATTTTGGAGGTTATGGCCCTAACCAAAGTCTTAGATTCTTGGGGTTCTTTAATATGCTGAATCTAATTGTGTATTTAGATTTTGGATGTTAGCTAACAGGCCCCATTTTAAATTGGTCTACATTGAAGTTCAAAGGGTCCAAAATTGAAATTTTGTTTGATTTTCTTAAAAAAAATGAATTATTGGGGTTCTTTGACATGCTGAATCTAACCATGTATTTATAGGTTTAGTTTTGGGCCCTGTTTTAAAATTTGTCAGCATTAAGGTCCAAAGGGTCAAAAATTGAACTTTGTTTGATTTTAACAAAAATTGAATTCTTGGGGTTCTTTGATATGCTTACACTAAACATGGATTTAAATTTTTGATTTTTGGCCCTGTTATCAAATTGGTCCACATTAAGGTCCAAAGAGTCCAACTTTTGTTTGATTTCATCAAAAATTTAATTCTTGGGGTTCTTTGATATGTTGAATCTTACCATGTATTTAGATTTTGGATATTGGACCATAAAATGTCAATGTCAAATTTCTAATTTTTAAGGGGGAGGGTTGAGATCTCAAAAAACATGTTTAACCCCGCTGCATTTTTGCCTTTGTTAGTCTTGTATCATTTTTAATTTTAGTTTCTTGTATATAATTTAGAGTTTAGTATGACGTCCATTATCACTGAACTGGTATACATATTTGTTTAGGGGCCAGCTGAAGGACGCTTCCAGGTGCGGGAGTTTCTCGCTGCATTGAAGACCCATTGGTGGCCTTCGGCTGTTGTCTGCTCTATGGTCGGGTTGTTGTCTCTTTGACACATTCCCCATTTCCATTCTCAATTTTATGTGTCAAATATTTATTCACAATCCAAATTCAGAGCTGTATCAAGCTTGAATGTTGTGTCCATACTTGCTGCAACTGTTGAAGGTTTGACCTCTGCGGTCGTATCAAGCGGCGCCCTGCATTTATTTAATGTTAGGGTCTGTAATACATCTGACTGAGAACCTGAGTTAACCCATGGTTTATCTTGTGGGGTTCCTGATGCTCAATCTATAGTTTTTGTCTTGCCTTGACGGAGTCAAAATGCGAGACATAGGTATGCTGTTTCCGGCGTCGTCAGCGTCAACAATGTATTAGTTTGTGATTAGGTCTAGTTCTTGGTGAACCGCTAGTGGTAGGTCAATAATATTTGGTATGCAGTTGTATTAGCATTGGTACATCTCATTACCATGGAGATTATTTGGCCCTTCCCCCTCAGTCAAGGTCTATTGACTTTGAAACTTTGCTTCGTTTACATGTATTAGTTTGTGATTAGGTCAGATTATGGGGAACCACTAGTAGTAGGTCAATGATATTTGGTATGCAGTTGTATAAGCATTGGCACATCTCATTTCCATGGAGATTATTTGGCCCTGCCTCCTTATTCATGGTCTATTGACTTTGAAACTTTTGTTTTGTTTTCATGTATTAGTTTGTGATTAGGTCAGTTCAACGGGAATCGTTAGTGGTAGGTCAATGATAATTGGTATGCAGTTGTATAAGCATTAGCACATCTCATTTCCATGGAGAATATTTGGTCCCACCCCCTCAGTCATGGTCTATTGACTTTGAAACTTTTGCTTAGTTTACATGTATTAGTTTGTGATTAGATCAGTTTAAGACGAACCACTAATGTTAAGTCAATGATATTTGGTATGCAAATGTATTGGCATTTGCACGTCTCGTTTCCATGGATTATATAGCCCTAACCCTCATCATGGTTCATTGACTTTGAAACTTTTACATAGTTTACAAGTCAATGTTTGTCATGTTTGTGTTTAGGTTTGTTGAAAGGGAACGACTTATGATAAGTCTATGGTATTTGGTATGCAGTTGTATTAGCATTGGCACACCTTCAGTCATGGTTCATTGACTTTGAATATTTGCATAACTTACATGTTAAAGTATTGCTATTTTAATTTCAACATTTGCATTACCAAAAGTACAAAAAGGCGAGACATATCTCTGTGTTAACAGTTTATCTATGTAATGTTTTATGGATTGTTTGTCTTTTCGTTGTTTTTTGCCATGGGTTGTCAGTTTTCTGAACTTAAATTACCAAATGTATTTTCTTACTAAAATCTTAGACCATATATCATGTATATAGTGACTGTATTTCAGCAACACTGTCAGAAATCTTAAGCAATTACAATTGGACAATTTTTAGACATCTTGTATCTGCAACTCTTTTTTAACCCTAATTGTATTGTGCACTTCTAGTTTGACTTGTTCATCAGATTGCCTTTTTAGCTCACCTGACCTGAAAGGTCAAGTGAGCTTTTCTCATCACTTTGCGTCCGTCGTCCGTCGTCCGTCGTCCGTAAACTTTTACAAAAATCTTTTCCTCTGAAACTACTGGGCCAAATTTGACCAAACTTGGCCACAATCATCATTGGGGTATCTAGTTTAAAAAATGTGTCCGGTGACCCGGCAAACCAACCAAGATGGCCGCCATGGCTAAAAATAGAACATAGGGGTAAAATGTAGATTTTGGCTTATATCTCTGAAACCAAAGCATTTAGAGCAAATCTGACAAGGGGTTAAATTGTTTATTAGGTCAAGATCTATCTGCCCTGAAATTTTCAGATGAATTGGACAACCTGTTGTTGGGATGCTGCCCCTGAATTGGTAATTTTAAGGAAATTTTGCCGTTTTTGGTTATCATCTTGAATATTATTATAGATAGAGATAAACTGTAAACAGCAATAATGTTCAGCAAAGTAAGATCTACAAATAAGTCAACTTGACCAAAATGGTCAGTTGACCCCTTAAGGAGTTATTGCCCTTTATAGTCAATTTTTAACCATTTTTCGTAAATTTTTGTAATTTTTTACAAAAATCTTCTCCTCTGAAACTACTAAGACAAATTTAACCAAACTTGTCCACAATCATCATTAGGGTATCTTGTTTAAAAAATGTGTCCAATGACCCCGCCCGTGAACCAAGATGGCCGACATGGCTAAAAAATAGTACATAGGGTAAAATGCAGTTTTTGGCTCATATCTCTGAAACCAAAGCATTTAGAGCAAATCTGATGAGTATAAAATTGTTCATTAGGTCAAGATCTATCTGCCCTGAAATTTTCAGACCAATCAGGCAACCCGTTGTTGGGTTGCTGCCCCTGAATTGGTAATTTTAAGGAAATTTTGCCGTTTTTGGTTATTATCTTGAATATTATTATAGATAGAGATAAACTGTAAACAGCAATAATGTACAGCAAAGTTAGATCTACAAATAAGGCAACATGACCAAAATTGTCAGTTGACCCCTTAAGGAGTTATTGCCCTTTATAGTCAATTTTTAACCATTTTTCGTAAATTTTTGTAATTTTTTACAAAAATCTTCTCCTCTGAAACTACTAAGACAAATTTAACCAAACTTGTCCACAATCATCATTAGGGTATCTAGTTTAAAAAATGTGTCTGATGACCCCGCCTGCGAACCAAGATGGCCGACATGGCTAAAAAATAGTACATAGGGTAAAATGCAGTTTTTGGCTCATATCTCTGAAACCAAAGCATTTAGAGCAAATCTGATGAGTATAAAATTGTTCATTAGGTCAAGATCTATCTGCCCTGAAATTTTCAGACCAATCGGGCAACACATTGTTGGGTTGCTGCCCCTGAATTGGTAATTTTAAGAAAATTTTGCAGCTTTTGGTTATTATCTTGAATATTATTATAGATAGAGATAAACTGTAAACAGCAATAATGTACAGCAAAGTTAGATCTACAAATAAGGCAACATGACCAAAATTGTCAATTGACCCCTTAAGGAGTTATTGCCCTTTATAGTCAATTTTTTACAATTTTCATAAATTTTGTAAATTTTTGTAAATTTTTACAAAGTATTTTCCACTGTATCTACCGGGCCAAGTTCATTATAGATAGAGATAATAGTAAGGAGCAAAAATGTTCAGTAAAGTAAGATCTACAAACACATCACCATCACCAAAACACATCACCATCACCAAAACACAATTTTGTCATGAATCCATCTGTGTCCTTTGTTTAATATGCACATAGACCAAGGTGAGCGACACAGGCTCTTTAGAGCCTCTAGTTTTTTACATTTTTGCCCATTATCTTGAAAACTATAATAGATAGGGAGAAACTTTAAATTGCAAAAATGATCAGCAATACAAGTTCTACAAATTAACACATGGTCGAACTCGTCAGTCGTCTCCTTATTAGAGTAATTGCCCTTTGATGACGATTTTGACCAATTTTTTGCGTTTTTGCCTTATATCTTATAGATTACAATAGATAGATAGAATCTTAAATTGGCAAAAATGATCAGCAAGACAAGATCTACTATGTAGACAATATGGAGGAAATCTTCCGATGACTCCTTATTGGAGCTATTGGCCTTAAATGACGATTTTTACCATTTTCTTGCATTTTGCCTTATGTGATAAAATTTATGATAGAAAAATAGACACTTTTAATCACAAAAATTATCAGCAAGGCAAGATCTTCTATTAAGTCCAATTTTGCCGATATAGTTAGTAGACTGTCACTCTTTACAGGAGTGATTGCCCTTAAATGACGAATTTTTTAACCTCTTTTGTGTTTTGAGCAAAAACTAAAGAAGATAGAGAGAAACTAAACAGACTAAATAATCAGCAATACAAAATCAACAAAACAGAGATTTTTGTCATGAATTCTATTCTCGTCTACAATGTTAGAGAGTGTCCTTTGTTGAATATGCAAATAGACCAAGGTGAGCAACACAGGCTCTTTAGAGCCTCTAGTTTTACAGAGGTTTTGTCTTTCTTTTGTTATTTACATTCTTTTATTGTTTGTATATGCTCAGGAACTAAATCTTGCTTCTATAATTAAAATAAAATAAACAAAATGTAATAAATATATAAAAATCAAATGTGTTATTTTCTTAATCACAGAACATTTTACAACATCAACCCATAAAACCTGGTAGTATTATGTTATATGTATTTTTTTATAGACCAAAAACTGAGTCATAATTTTAATGAGCGAGCTTAAGTGGTGACAATTCATGTCACCCGACCCAGACATCTTGTACTATACAAGCAAACTGAATTACTATATCCATCCAATAACTAGTTTGTGTTTGCAAGGCAAAGAAGGGCTAAACATTCTTATGACTGATTCAGCATGAAAATAAGGTTAAAGTGTGTAATTATTTCTTAGAAACTGACTTAACTTTTGCAAGACCATTACCCTTGTTACTTAGGTGATCACATATTTGATTCGCTGATTTGAAATTTGACGTAGATTGAATCAATTATAAAACCATAATAAAAAGTGAATGACAAAATAATATTTTTTCATAAATGCTATTTAAAGAACATATTTACTCAGCCATGGAAAATTGAACCCCTTCTATAGACCTCGAGTTTCAAATTGTCATAGCTATTCAAACTACTTTTTAAAGCAATAATAATCCAGTAATGAGTATTTGATGTGAATAAAACATCTTAGAAATGATGTTGAAACATTTTTACTTAGCCATGGAAAATTGAACCCCCATCAAAATTTCTATTTATAACAGTTATACCATTATGTTATGTTCCAGTTAGCGTCTCTAATGAATAAACAGAGGGGTTCAACTTTCCATGGTGATTAAATTTTCCATTCAGGGGGGGGGGGGGGGAATCACTTGTCGTTAAACAAGGTCAAAGAAGGCAGATCATTTAATTTCACATTCAGATACATTGATGATGTTCTTTCCATTAAAAATCCAAACTTTTCTGATTGAGTTCCATTAATATATCGATCTCCAGAACTAGAAATTTAAGAAACAACAGACACGGCTTCCTCCGCCTCATTTTTAGACTTACACCTCGAATTTGACATAAGCGGTCATCTTAGTACCATAATCTATGACAAACGAGACGATCTTAATTTTGAATTATATATTTCTCCCATCTTGTATACCAACTTCACCTGCATATGTCATATACATTTCCCAACTCATTCGGTATTCAAGAACTTGCAGCTGCTACTCAGACTTTATAAAATGTCACCAGTGTTGAACCAAGGTTATGTCAAAGAATAACAACTATGTCAACATAGAAAAACAAAATGGTATATAGACATTCTATAGACAAATCACATTAGCAAAAATGAAAGGACAAGAATACAAAAAAATGACCATAGCACAATAACATGGCAGGATATATAATTACCGAGCCACGCCAAGAAGATATTACCAAAAATGGACTAAAAAGTAAAGGTTAAAATATACGAAGACAAATAAAAGGAACACTATAACACGTAATTAAGATGAAAATCAACGTTAGTACCTTTACTTGAAGACCATCATGTATTATTTCCAAAAATAATATTGAATATTTATCAACAAGGTCTTGGTATCTTCCGATGAACTTGTTTAGAAAAAGGAAGAGACGTTGTGATATCTTTATCCATTTCAGGTGTGCGCTTACTGCTTTGTTTTTTTTAGATATAAACCAAAAACCTATGTTATATGTTTAGCCATGGCAGCCATGTTTCTGGACGGATAAGAATATAAAACAAAAACTTAATTCTATATATTTAAAAAAAGTTTACGACGGACGCTAAGTGATGGCAAAAGCTCGCAACCCATTTGAGGCAATGTGAGCTAAAAAGGAGATAAGTTTCTAAAAAGGAATATTCCACTGTTGTCGTGTCGTTACAACAATCTTGTTAACTTTTCCACGATTATGGCATAACTATAAGCGACTTATTTGTAGATTTATATAAAATATGAAATTGAAAACAACAGCTTGCTAATACTCTTTGTATATTATTGAAACGAAATTCTATTTTTGGTGAATATTCAAGAAGTAGTAAAGGTCATTTAAAAAAAAATAGTATATAATATAGCAAGCTGTTTTTATTAATATCGCCAAACTTTATTATGATAATGAAGCGGTATATAAAACGAATCTGCAGATTGACTGCATTCTGTGCTATAATATTTTGGCTACTAGCATTTAAAATATTCGGAGATATGGATAACCTTGACCCAATTTTGATACGAAATGATAAAACATCTACAGGAGAAAGACAAATTAGTAGCAGGAATGGTGCATTTCGTATTATCAGGATATCAAACAAAACAACGGAAAATCTTATTTCTAACAAAAGGGATGTAACTGTTGTACAACAAACTAATGAACAACATTTTAACCAAAATATAAAAATAGACAACATCATACTACAGGATAAACATGTTCCACGGTTAACTGATAAAGAAATGGAACATATAAAACATGCATTTGAAAATTCACCTATTGTATTAAAAAAATACAAGTTGATATTCTTTTGGAATGAAAAGTCTGGCTGCACATACTGGAAAAGCCTCTTTTATTTTATACAAGGATTGAAAAATAAAGATGTGCATAATAGTCATCTTCTTTCTTATCTTGTACAATTCAATCACAACGAAATAACAGAGATGATATTTGATAATTCTTGGACAAAAGCGGTATTTGTGAGAGAACCGAGAGAGCGAATACTGTCGTGTTATCTAGATAAAGGATTTAAAAAGGCTTTTATGGTGCATTACTGTAAACGCACCCCGAAATCATTTTTGGATTTTTTAAAGCTCATAAAGCAATGTAAAGGTTCCCACTGGGAGCCTCAGGTAAAAGTACCGAGGTTTTTATATAAGAATATGATGATTGGTAAAATGTCTGACATTTTTACCTTTACTGAACAGCTTCTTACAAAAATTGGAGCTTGGAATGAAACTGTTAACGTTTGGATGAATTCAGAAAAGATTGAAAAGAGAGCAAGGCCTCATGCGACAAACGCTAAAGATAAATTGTTTCAATATTACAATGATACCAAAATTCAAGATATAATTTTTGAAATGTATGCTGATGATTATGATGTATTTAACTTTGAAAAAAAATATTTTGACTTTAACAAAAATCTTCAGAAACGTTAAAAACACTATCGTAGATTGATGTATGATGGACAACTATTTCTTCTTTTGTTGAAAACAGTTCCATGTTTCTCATGCCGAAATCTAATTTCTAATTGCCTTTTTCATAATGAAAACGGACTATCAGACATTTTCTTCTTTCAATTAGTTTTGCACAAATATATGAATAACTACATTAACGATTTTAACATTTTACAGCATCAGATGCCCATTTCGACAATCAATATCTCTTCAGTGCTGCCCGTATCCGAATGATTTGATCATTCAAAACCTATGACGAAACCATAAAAATAATATAGCAATCTACGAAAGGAATTTATATTAAGTTACATTTGAAATAAATTGATACTTTTATCTTGCATTACATTCATATTTCAAATATTCGATCAATTTCAATCTTATTTAAATTCTTCAAATTTCAGTTTGGTATATGGAGTTATAGGAATGACAAAATCAAAACCAAATGTAACAAATTTTTAGAACCACATCAGTTGTGGTACTTTCCAAGTGTTTACCCGCAGAGTTTTCCTTCATTGTGAATGTTTTATGACTTCCAGAAGTATCAGTATTACTATTTCAATGTAAAACAGTGCCCAAATTTGCCCACCAGACAACACTACATATTTTTAGATTTTAAAGATACACATGCGTCAGCTGTCTCCCACCAGTTTTCAAAACTGCACCAGTCGTTATCAACATTCGATCACCAGACAACTCAAGTCTGTGTCCACACCTGTTCTTTTTAACCCCAATAAAAGTCAAAAATTAATATGCACATCGACAAAAATGCACAAAAACTTCAAACTGTGGAAAATTTCACAGGCGTCCTACTCAATCTTTTGGAGATTATGAGTTTAAAAAAAGTATTTCACAAAATTTTTTGTTTATAACAAAAGCTTATTTTTTCAAGATTGCTTACCAATGTTCACTAAATTAGAGAAGCAGGTATCACTTACTTGCCATATTTAGTAAAATTGATACAATGCAATTAGAATATTTCTGATAGTTAAGATAAAAAATATCAACAAATGGGTACACATTGTCATTCAAGGACAAGAACTAGTTAAGATAAAAAATATCAACAAATGGGTACACATTGTCATTCAAGGACAAGAACTCCTTTAAGTCGACTGACGATATCAATCATGTTGATTAATTAGTAGATCTTGTCCTTATGTTATTTTTTTCTATATACAGTTTCTCTCTATCTACTATGATTTCTACTTAAAAATTGGAATAAAAAAAGGCGACAATCATAACGGGGGTATTTAGTTTAAATTATGGGTCCGATGATCCCATTTGTCAACCGATATGGTCGACATGGCTAAAAATAGAACATATTGGTAAAATGCCAGATTTGTCTTTTTCTCTTAAATCGTTATAAACAGAGGATATATGACAGAACAGAATTGTCCAGAATGATAAGATCTACCTACTGTCTATTACTTCAAAAATGAAACGACGACTCTTTAAAGAGTTAATGTCCTTAAAGAACGAGTTTTACCATTTTTTTCATTATTGCCTATTATTTTGAAAACTATATTAGATAGAGAGAAACATCAAATAGCAAAATTATAAGCGAGACGTGATCTACAAATTAGTCAATTTGGCTGAAATCGTCGGTCGACTCCCTTAAATGACGAATTTTACTAATATTGGCGTTTTAACTTATTATCTTGCAAACTATAATAGATAAAGAGAAACTTAAGAAAGCAAATATGATCAGCAGGACAAAATCTGCAAAATCGTATATTTGCCCTAAATCGATGGTCGACTCCTCATATGAGTTATTTCCATTAAATGACGATTTTAACCATTTTTGCATTTTGGACCAAAACTTTAGTAGATTAAGAAAACCTGTGATCAGCAAGACAAGATTTTGCAAAAAGGTCAGCAATGCAGAAATTGTAAGGTCAACTCCTTATAGGTGTTATTGCCTTTAAGATGATTTTACCCATTTTTTTTAT